TTGGCAAAAGAGTGAGTTTTATTAGGAGCTGAAACCTCTGAAACCTTTGAAATAAATATAAAAGAATGAATAAATGGTTATTTTAAGGGTAATTTGATGAATTTGATAGAAAATCTATTTAATGGTTATTGGTTTATAAAAAAGAATTTCTGTACGCCCATGTATGTAACGTAATTGTGTTATTTATATTTTTACCTATAACAATTTTTTCAGAAGGAATTTAATTATAAAATGAGTTTCGGTTTCGGTCCGATATACTTTTATCTTTATATATTTTAATTATTTTTCAATTAACACCAATTAAATAAGTTAAGTCTGCAATGTATAATAATAATAATAATAATAATAATAATAAATAATGCATAAGTTTTGAATTAATCGAAATCAATTCACAAAAAAATTTTCCTTCTTCCCCTACTCCATCGAGTTAATTATTTTAATTGACATAATAACAATAAATAGAAAAGGGAATGAAAAGATTTACCATAAAAAGTGTAAAATATAAAGTAATATAAAGTAATATAAAGTAATATAAAAATCTTACAAATCAATTCTATTATTAGTTATTAAATATAATAAATATAGTAAACGATATATCTTGTAAAAATGTAGTGTAACACTGTATCAAATATTTTATTATTGGTTCCTTTTACGTACGATCTTGTACAATTGTGACGTACATCGTTGAATTGGTTTCCATTTAAGGACATTCCACGAGAAAAGTTTAAAAAAAAAAATCACATGAAAATAAATGAATCGTAATTCCTTCCCGAGTTTTTATAAATGACAGATTTGAGTATCATAAATATTTTCAAAAATATCTATTACAAATATATATGTGTGTATACAGTTACTAATATATTTTATAAATAAAACCCTAATTAAATTATGAGATATCCATTGCTTCGCCATCTGTAACGACAACTAAATCTCTAATGGACTCCTTAAGAATAGCTAAAAAAAAAATAAAAGAATAGATTTTAATAAATTTATTTTTATTTCATTTTCATTTTTTTTTTAATTTATTAATATGACAATAAAGTACCTGTAGTTCCCCGTTTATACTTATAGCTATAATGTTTTTGAGGACGTTGAGTAGGTTTAGAATATTCTCTCAAAATTTCTACTTTATCTTTCTCAATTACAACCAAATCAACATTGGATCCAGAGCCAAGATCATTGAAGATACCAGCTTCGATAGCATCTTTGACAAGATCAATGGCTTCTTGACGCTTTGAATACAAAAAATAAAATAAATAAATAAATTATATGTTAATCTGGTGACAAAAAAAGAAAGAATCAAACCTCAAGATTCTTTGTCCACCCATTTTCGAGAACAGAAATTGCTGCTAAGGAACCACTGCCCATAGTTACATAGGGTAACTTTTCCGAACTTCCGTGAGGATATATATGAAACAATCGCGGTCCTTTTATATCATAACCACCAAGTATTAATGCTGCACCGATATAACCTCGATGTCTATATTAATTAATTAATTAATTAATTAATTAATTACAATTTCCAATTAATTATAATCAAATAATTTTACTTAGAATATTAAAATGCTAACTTGAAAAGCAATTGTGTAAGCATTGTCTCTGCAGAATCAACTCGAGATTGTCTTCCAGTAGTTAATCGATGCAATTCTAATTGTGAACTAATTAAATCGGTTGTGAATATGGTATCGGCAGCTGTACCTGCTCCACCACAGTATATATTTGGGGCAATGTAACTAATTTTAAAAATATCTTTATCTTGCACGATTGATCCTCCGGTTGCCCTAGTATCTGCACCTAAAATAACACCATCCTATTATTAAAAATAATTAATAAAGTCATTTATTATGATTGACCAAGAATTCGTTATTCTGAAAAAATTTTTTTTTTTTAAAAAAAAAATCAGATTTAAATTAAACCTTGAAAATAATTCCAGCAATCGTAGTTCCGGTTTTAGTGGCTTTGGGCAAAGTAACACCTTTTTGTTCAAGAAAAAGATTTCTTTTTTTTTTTTTTGATAACATATATATATAAATAAGTTATAAATGAAATAATTAGTTAACTTTTTATTGAATCAATATTTACCTCTTATAATTATCGAAATTGAAGCCTCCTTTTTGTGGAATTACATTAGTTTCCATCTCGATCAATGTGTGCGTTTATTTTAAAGAGAAAATCTAGAAACACTTACGTAACCTAGGCCCAACATATTTAATGAGCGATCTGTGTCACCATCAAAAAATTTTATGCCGAGCACCGATTTTTACTTTCTTCTATGTTCGAGAGTAGAAAGAATGAAAATTTTATGGGGTTTGGCTTTCTCAATTAGCTTTGTAGTAATTTCTGTTCACAATAAGTCATTGTTAAAAAAAAAGGAATTTAAATTATGGGAAATTTCCTTTTATTATACATAGTAGTTTTTTTTTATAGTTTTTTATGGAGATTTAGAATATAATTCGATCATAGCATTTAATAAATATTAGCTGATAATATAAATTCAGGATTTCGTATTGTTTATTTGTAATGGTTTGTAAATTGAAATAGAATTAAATTTGGGTTTGTTAAATTAATTATAAATATATTTTAATAGAGTAATTAATATTTAATTAAAATCTTCTGTAAAAAAGAAAAGAAAGATTTGAGAGAAAGAAAGAATTTAGTTATTATATTTTCAGTATTGTCTTATTTATTTTATTTAATTTTATTTGATTTTATTTGATTAATAAAATGAATTGAACCTTATTTTTTAAAGAAATAAACATTTAAAATTTGATAAATATTTATTTAAATTATTTTAAATAGTTGAAAATTTTTTAAAAATCTTGGATTTTGAAATCATCAATAATCAATTAAATACCTTTAATGCTTGAGAAATGGTATAAATACTTAATATGTATTGTTTAATGCTTAAAAGTACTTCAAACAAACTTTATTTACTTTTTATATCTTTATATCTCTAGTATTTTCAATTTATAATATTATATAATAAAATTAATTTAGTTATTAAAGGAAGTTCTTCACGTTTTTTATTAATTTTTATTTCAAACGTGAAAATTACAAAGAAAAATTTTTATTATTTACAAAAATTCAAATCTTGTAATTGATCAATTAATCTTGGAGGCTAGTGTTGATAATGACTCATATGTTGATATCATGAGAGCACAACTTACAGCGACTTTAATTGTTCGTAATGATCCACCTAAATGTAATTAAATACATACAATTTATGCAATATTATTTTAGTTAATAACTATTATTATAAAGTCACAAGAAAAAAAAAAAAAGAAATGCACCTTTGAATAAACCTCGATATCCTTCTTTTTGAAGTATTGTTTTCATAATTTTGATCATATTGGGTTTTTCAACTGCTTAAATAATAATAATAATAATAATAATAATTGAAATTTTAATAAATTTAATTTAGATATGTTAAAAAAAAGGTAAGACTTTTTTTTTTTTTTATTACCAGTAACCTGTCGAACAGTTTTTGCGACATCAAAAGGAGTAGTAACTGTGGCGGCGACCTATTATGATTATTATTATAATTATAATTATAATTATTATTTGCTTTAATTTAATTAATTTAATTATGATGGAATGTTTTATTTAAAATTTACCATTCCAGATGTAGCACCGCATATGAAAGCTATTTCAAAGTTATTCACAGTTCCTTCAAGATTATTTTTTCGTAAATAATTTCCTAAGTTTCTTTTCATAATTTCATAACCAGTCCAATAAATGGCTAAAAATAATTATTTGATTTTTCTCTTTTAATTAATATTAATATAATATAATTAATTCAATTCAATTCAAAATATTAAATAATCCCATTTAAAAAATAAATAAAATAAAATAAAATAAAATAAAATATACCTGAAAAGGGTACGTCACGTAAAAGTGTAGGTTCCAAACCACGCCATAATGATGATACCCCATTTAATTTAACCATTTTCTGGACACCATTCATTACTCCTTTTAAACCATTAGCACCTTCAGGTCCTTGCATTCTGGTTCGGAATAATTCTAATGGGGATACCGAAGTTACGGCGAGTGCTATAAAATTCGCAAAAATTAAAAAATAAAATCATAAATATATAAATACAAAAAAAAATTTCATTCAAATATATAAAACATATACTTCTCGCTATAGCTCCGGCTAATAAAGGAGAATATGTCTCTGAATATTTTCCTTTCCAATGTTTCCATAATGTATCTCTTAAATGATCATAACCTACAAAATATATTACTGTTACTGGAACAGACATTATACTAAATTTAAATAATTTAATTTAAATCAGTACATAATTATATATCAAATGATTCAACCCGAAAATAAATAATTTTTTTTTTTTTAAATCTAACTAACAGCGCTGGTGAAAGTCCTCTCCATAATGATGCGATTCCTTCGTTACGAACAATTTTAACGACGCCATCCTATATTATTATTATTAAATAAAATCATTTATATATTATTAAACAAAGTTTTTTGTGTTTAATAAATTTCTAAATATTTGATAAAATTTTATTTACTAATGATCCATTAAGTTCATTAAGTTGATTTTTTGCAGCAAATTGATTGGGATTTATTGTTGCAGCACAACTAAACGCAGAAGCTTGGTTTGGTACGTGTGGATCAATTCGACAATAAAATTCTCGATGCATATTTTGTGGTGAAAAGAATATTCCATGACAACACGGTGTGACTGATGACGAATAACCTTTATAAAGACTTTGGGATTGAAGCCGAGTTTTAACGACATCAAATGGTGTTGCTGTAATTTAATATAAATTGAATTTTTATTATAAAAAAATAGATCTTTTGAGTATAGATCTTTGAATATAAAGTATAGATTCTTTTATAATAGAATATAAATCTTGGTAAAAAAAAAATATATATATATATATATATGAAATTTACTAAAGAGAGAAGTCAACAAAGCCCCAAAACAGGCGGCAACCATTTTTTTCATTGGTGTTATATGTTGTGATAATACATTTAGATTTTCCGTTGCTGCTTCAGAAACCTGTTTGGTTTTATGTAGATTTGTGCTTGGTGTTGATTGATATTCAAGACCATGAACATGAATCTGTTTTTCTTGATCCATGATCACACATTCTGACATAGTATCGTCCATTTTTTTTTAAAAAAAAAAAAAAAAATAATTTTTTTTTGATGATTATAATTGTTACTAATTCGGATTTTTTTTATAATAAAAATTTATAACCACGCGATAACAGATCTCGCAGAAGATCTTGTACAACGAATATTAACCTTAAATTAATTTTATTAATGTGTAAAATAAAATTATATATTTAGAATAAATCTGCATCTGCATGAAATAAATACAGTGCATAATTAAATTTACATTTACAATCTATATTGGCACATGAAATTAGATGTAATTAAAGATAATAATATTAGAAAATGTTCTGCACTATGCAACACAAAATAAATATTTATTTCTCTCCTAAAATAATCTCATCTATTAATATCAACTATTTGCAACTTCTACCATTTCATTAATCACAGCTTTGTCGAATTCTTCAGGGTTATCAATGTATAAATGATGACCCGAATGAGGAATTTGAATTACTTTTGTTGGTACATTCATCTTAACAGAGGCTTTTATGGCTTCTCGATAATCCATCCAATCTTCCTCTCCATCTTTTATTTAAAGAATAATAAATTATTGATTAGAACGATTAGAATACCTTTGACTTGAACAAAAAAAAAATATCAAGTACACACATATATATATATATATAATCAATAATATTTACATATAAAAGTTGTCGGCATTTTTATCCCTTCCAATCTATACATCAATGGCTTTCGAGCATAAGCTCCAGGTGCAAGAATTCTCGATAAAGCATATTCTCCACTACCGGGTGCTGCAGAAACGTGATAAAGATAATCGTGCAAATCAATTCGATCTTGTTCATCAAGATTAGCAAACCGACGAGATGTATATTGTGAAATTAACGATGGTCCAAATGGTCCAACCAATCTCATTAATAATTGTGGTGTAAAATTTGCGTCCCATAATTTTACTAACCATAAAGGTAATGTACGTCCATTTACATTATCTTTAATATTTTTGAGATCTTCGTATGGACTTGGAGGAATTCCAACAGGTGATACCATAATTAATCTTTCTACATGTTGAGGGTACTTTAATGCATACACTGCCGCAAAATAACCTCCTAATGAGTGACCAAGTAGCGTCATTTTCTCAATTTTTTGTACCTGACGCCATTTTTCAAGTGAATCCTGAAGATAAATCATAATTAATTGAACATCATTTGAACATAAATTTGATGACTTTAGATATTAACATACCACAAAGAAATTTTCAGCTTCATCAACGGTTTCTTCAATAGTTTTCCCTTTTATTTTAAACCTAAATAAAAAAAATAAATAAATAAAAAAATAAAATAAATAAAAAATAAAAAGATAAAAGATTGAACAAATTTGTCCAAATTTTTTAAAAATTCAATATAAAACTCAACTTATTACGTGTGCTTCTACCCATTCCAAGCCAATCAATTGAATATATTCTCCATCCTTCTACAAGACTAAGTCGATGATAATTTCGATAAAAGAAACCAAGTCCACCACCAAATCCATGACACATTACAAGATTTTTTTTTTCCTGAACTTCTGCGATCGTCCCATTATTATTATCAATGACCAAAGTATTTATTTTCCTTTTACCATCACCATCTAAATCAACTAAACCAACTCGAGCAGTGGTTTTCAATTCGGAAGTATCAGTCTTTTCTCCTAATATAAAGAATCGAAGTCTACTTAAAAGACGAGCTTCGGAGGCTTCAAAAGTTCGATCAGAACGCATAAGCCAATGTCTAAGAGAAGCGAAACGAACATTTGGAGATCTATAAATAGGGGGATATAATAAATATTTTGAACTAATTTGAACAGGCATTAAAAGAAAGGAATTTTAATTAAATAATTACGGAGCAGGCGGAATAGTAATGGTAGTGGTAGTAGTAGTAGTAGTAACAGTAGTAGTGACAGTGTTTATTAGGTTAGAGGCAGAAATATTGGTCGTGGTGGCCATTTTTATTCGTTTTCGAGAAATATTATACTTAATAATAATAATAAAATTGCGGGGAATAAACTTCAAGACAACCCTTGAAAAATAAAAAGAGACCTTTATTATTATTATTATTATTTATTATCGTTATTATTTATTATTCAAATTTTGTATTCCTCGGGTTGAATATCCCCCGATATTAAATGACGTCACATATATATATATATTTCTTTTATAAACAATTTAAAATAAAGAATTTTAATAAAAAAAAATGGTCACATTTACATGCAAATAATGCAAAGTGTGGAGTTCACTTGGTTTACAATTTTCAATTCCCTTAGTTAGAGTAACTTTATTAATAATAACAAAAATTGGAATTCACTAGAAAACAACTATATGTACTATCTTTCGAAACTATGAAGAATATTCTGGTTTCACAATTCTTGTTTCGGCGAAGTCGCGTTGGCACCACGGATGTGAGCATTGATCTATTATTGCTCAAAATGTCCTAAATCATTGTAATAGTTTCCCAAAAGGGATTAAAAATTAACAATATAATTTGGAGATGGTATCACCAAAAAATCCCTTTAGGAGTTAGTGGTATTTATATTATTATCTATTTTTTAATAATAATTATTTTTATTTATAAGCGTAAGAGGAGGAGGAGATAAAATTTCACATATGATTTTATTATTTCTAATTTATAATCTTTATTGCTACATTTTCAAATTCAATTCTTGGATCATGAAATCAAGAATATTGCCATAAACATATAAAAGTAAAACGAGTTTATCACTTTTGTCCACATTAATAATTTAATTCTTCATTATACAGAGTATGACGTGACGTGAATTCAGTTATAATTATTTTACTATGCCAAAAAATAACCCCAGTGACAACTACACCGGGATATTTACCTACCCGAATGAGAAATTTAACTCGAAAATAATTTAGACAACATGTATAATGCTCTCTAGGCTTTTTGGATGTAATACCTATTTTCTCTTGTACAAATGTGTTCATTTTTATCAATCTTAATCTAATATATATATTTTTTTTCAGCAAAAAAAAAAATGGTGTCAGAATCATTAAAAAATTTATGGAAGGAGAATCATCCAGTGGTATAAGACTGCAAAAGAAATTACTATTGATCCCGAAGAAGACTGTTATCTTGATCCAATACTACTGGTATTCGAATGGAATGACGTAACGAAATATTCAGAAAACTAACGTAATGTCTGAAAAAAATATCTAAAATATTGAAATTCATATTTTTTTTTTGAATGGGCTTAAAACCTATTGATAATAACACAAATCTTATTCAAGGTTTTTCATTTCGACATAATAAAATAATTTTGATTTTTGGGGGGATGTAGTAACTTGCATCTCAAACTTGAGTTTTCCAATTTCCGTAATTAAAAATATTAGAACAAGAAGATAATCCTCCTTTAAATTTTCTTTTTTCTCCACTTTTCATAAAAAATTTAGATAGCGAAAATGAATAAAAAAATTATGTTAATAATTTCATAAAGAAACTGGTGACTTTGAAATGAACAAATAAAAATTATAGTGATAATGAACAATAAATTGACAATATATGACATGCAAACTCATTTTCTTGTGAAAAAAGATGAATACATTTTTTTCACTGTCAAAAATTCATTAGCTATCGGTTCCGGAAATTCACTTTAAAAATGAGAAAAAAAAACTTTTTGGCCAATGTGCTACCTGCGACTTAGAAATACTAGAATAACTTCTATACAATCACCGAAAACAATAAATTATATCCAGGGGCATATTATAGATAACTTCTATATACCCGATGATGTATTTATATGTATCGTACATAAATTATCGATATAGTTTTATTTTACGATGCATGAACAAATCACACATCCCCGCACCACATATACGCATACACTGGTTAAGCCCGATGTGAATAAAATCTAATCTTTATTAAATACTATATTACACTAATATAAGATTAAAAGAAATGCAACATTTCCTTGGAATATGTTAATTTCCACTTTTGTATATAAAAAGCATGATTTAATATGCACTAACACTATCTACTGTTTCATTAAAACTGTATAATTTATACCACCTCGGAGTCACAATTGTCTTAGATATATTGATGGTGGGAGGCATATAATATTTATCTTGTTCATCAGAATCATAAAGAAAATTTTCAATATCGACATCATTCTTCTCGTTTATGACATCCAGTGGTTGAATAATGATAGATTTTACATATAGTATCTCCTTTAGAACCAAAGCAAGCGGTTTAGATTTTGTTAGACGACCAGCAACTTCACGTACTTTTCTACGTTGGATACGAATAACATATGATCGGCTATGATGACCTGAATTCTATTTGCTCCATGAAGCATCCAACTATTTGTAATTTTCTCGCAAGATCTTCTCTCATGTCACACTCAATGGCAAGCTGGTTTAACATATCCTTCAACATTTTACATATTTTTAAGGAATCTGCCATGTATTTGGTTCCATTTTATCCTTCCCACTTACGCCCTGCACCAAATTCTAACCGTTCCTTGCATAACCTAAAAACCCATCGCCCTTTCGACCAATCTTCTTTCGAATGTACATTGTTCTTTCAAGATTCTTCCTATCACTATGCAAGACTCATACCCTCGCCACGCACTAAATCGGTGCTCAGATTGCTAAAAGCTGGGTCAATCAAGCGACCCAAACATTTGTTTCGTACCAGCCCTCTAACTTCAAAGAGTCAAAAGGGTTTTCATCCTTCTTCCACAAAAATAACATTCCTTGGTAATCGTAATTGATAAAAATCAAGATCGAAATCACCTTCATCTGGTAAAAACAATTCAGAAAGAATTTTTCGTAACATTTTGACATCACCAACTGTGCACTTTTCAACAATTCCACAAGAGAATGTTTAAGTTTCGGCTTATCTTTAACCTCTGAGGTGGTAATTTCCTTCCACTCCATATCAGAAAACAGTGATTTGGTGCTAAATCTACAGTGTCAGTAGTCGATAAGGCTTATAAACATCAGGCAATCGAGAAGGTCACCTGTGCTCCAACACTGCTTTCGTAGCTCATCGAGAAGACTTGAATGATAGACATCGAGAAGACCCCTACCACGCTACCTATCCTTAAAAAAAAACTTTCACGAATACTTGCCAATTTATAAAGTTTAAGAAGTTCCAAAGCTTTTTCGCGCCTTTGACCACTCTCTGTATCAACGATCAACTCAAGAGACTTGAGGTAACACTCAATTTTTTGCATATAAGGTTCTAGGTCACATTCATTGAGGAATTCAATAATATCCCAATCCGACACTTTTCGATTAAATGCTCATGTATCTATTTTGGAAATGAACAAAAAGGTAAAAAGCCGAGATGCAAAAAATTCAAAGTTCGCCACGGTAGTTTTTCACAAAGGATTTGGTGATATCACGTGAATTATCCGTGACTAAATGGAATTAATAGCTGCGAACGTGGCAAAAGTTTCATTTTTAATAGAACTTATGGTTATTTTTTTGATATATCAAGATACGCGTGAAAAAAGTGGTTATTTTTTGATATACCTTTAATTATTTATTTATAGATACATCAAAAAGATAACTATTTTGTCACATGAAAATTTGATATATCAATAAAAATAACCATAGGTCGAAGTCTTTGCGTGAACGTTAAGTGCAAATCATATTAAGATTATCTGGTGATAAATAATTACTACTGTATACTTTTTATTCAATTTGAGAATCTCGCGATTCCTAGAAAATCCATATCAAATTATCAAAACACCTCCATTTACATATTTAACAATGAGTAAAGGAGAGAATATCAAACTTCTTTGGTTTCTCTTGATTCGTAAAACAAGAATTGACGTTTTGAATCATTTCCTAAGGATAAAAATTATTTAGTTATTGAAAAAAAGTTGCACCAAAATTATATATGATTTATTGCAGTTAACTCATGGATCACGAATTAATGTTTCATTACATTGTAAAGGTCGGTAAAGATAACGAGCAGATAGAAGTGTAGGGCAGGAACGAAGAGGGAGGAATAAAACATATATTAAATGCCTGCCGGATCCTAGGCCCCTTTGCATAGTAAAGAATGGCAGTTCTATTACTACTGCTATCATCTAAAATTCTACTATCGAAAAATTATTTCTATTGCTACTACTAATAATAACGGAATTATCTTTTTTTCCTGGTTTTCTTTCTCAATCAGGCATCAATTTTATCTAATGTGGTACGTAGCGGGGATTTTTTTTGATGTCTATAGAAACTTGCAAACTGAGTCCAATTTCTTCAAATAGAATATTGTACATTTTTGTGGGATCGTTTTCCTTTTTTCTTCATTCATCAAATATTGCAGTAAATTCATCCCAGATAGTTTGGATTTCGGTAGAATATTCAGTTTGTTATGGTTGCGAAGATTCGTGACCTAATTGTAGAATGTAGGTTATTAAAAATATAAAATAGTTATACACAGAATTTACAAGTGTTTACCGTAAAAAACGTGAAAATCTCCTGAAATTTTCACGTTTTCTTACAGTTTTTCGACTTCGCTCGTGATTTGCAAAGCGTAGAGCGATTTTCTACTAAGATATTTCTATATATAAAAAAACCATCTTGTTCTTGGCTACAGTATAATATGTGTTTCATCCTGATAACATCGATATTCGCGGAGTTATTATAGTTCAAAAGAAAAAAAGTCCGTGGAAAATTGGGTGAAATTTTCCAGAAATTTTTTGCCCGATTTTTTCACGGAAATTTTTTTTAAACTATAATAACTCTGCGAATATCGATGCTATTGAGATGAAACAGTGTTTGAAAATCCTGTGCAGAATATACACAATTTAGAATTCTATATGCAAAATTTGTGCGGATGCCTTTTTTTATGTGTGGAATTTTCAAATTTTGTGCTAGTGCACATTCTGCACATTGAATTTCAAACGCTGAGATGAAATTCATCATTTTGTAGCCAAGAACAATACCTTTCTTTCGATCTTAGTGAAGCCGAAAACTCGTAAAATCTCCAGAAATTTTTGTGTTTTTTTTCGACTTCGCTCACGTGGAGTGATTTTCTATTAAGGTATTTCTAAGATAAAAAGAAAGATATTGTTCTTGGCTACAAAATAATATGTGTTTCACCCTGGTAGCATCGATATATAGATGAACTAAAAAAAGAACTAGAGTCTAAGAAAAATTGTAAATTTCAAGAGAAATGTATTCTAATAGCCCAAATACTTCTTAATGAGGAGTCAATAATTGAGTACCATAGTACTTAATGCCTTCTTCAAAAATATCAAATTGCATTAGAAGTACAAGGTAGCCGGAATCGGTTCCATAGCAATAGCTGGTATAAAGATATCAAAAAATTTGAAGATGTAAATCGTGATCGGTTAAAAAGATATGTCAAGATAACGGAATTTTTCTTCTTGAAGTATGGTAATGATGAGAAATCAGAAATAGTTATTTCCGAAAGAATACAAAAAATTAAAGGTTTCGTTAATCAAGTATCCAAAATTTATAACTTAACATGATGAAGGTTTTCATAATTTGCTAACTTTAATATGCAATTTACATTTCACAAACCTAATAAAGATTCAAAAAAAATGAATTAACAATGTGAAATAGAAAATAATATGTCATGAAATTTCTTAGTTGTAATAAATAGTGCTGAAATGTAAAATGCCTCGAGGCACAGTTAAACTAATCACATTATGCTATTATTACTGATTCAAAAGAAATTGACGAATTTTGGTTAACGCAGTCAGCACCGCTTTCCTTCCATTTGGGCCTGCAAGATCAAAACCACTTTTATGATTATTTCTCCTGACCATCTTTTAATTTCAATTGAATTTTTTCTGGGTAAACCTTTAGCAAGCTCTTCCAATATTCTGCTGAAATCTCAGCCTTGTAAAATGTAGTATAGGTAGAGATAAAACGAGTGGCAAATAAAACCTGATCAGAAACAGTCATACGTGCATTTTCATTTCCGCAAGCAAATATTTTGGCAGCAATTTGCATTTCTCCATATTCTGTCAAAAAAGTCTATTCAAGTAATCAAAGATATTGACCTGCCAAACAATAAAAAAAATTACATACTTCTGAAATAATTACAGATTTTTTTTTGTTAATCACAAATTTGGGAGTTGCTGAAACATAAGGCTCACATAAGATACACAATTCACTTGGTAGATGAATTCTAAATTTTGAAGAAGAAAAATTTAGAAAGTCATTTGAATAAGACACAGATCTTTTAAATTACTCACGATATATTCAAGGGCCAGTCATTCAGCCCAGAAATACAAAGCAAATCATAAACCAACTCGTGAATCCTAGATTCAGGTATTCCTGGTGGGCTTCTTGTAACGTTATGCAGTTTGTAAAAGAAAGTTCGGACTTTATCATCTGAAAAATCACTAATTTTTTCAACATCAAAATTTTCAGCTGAACATTGTTTGTCTGCTTATATTAGGGCAAACGTACTGTTCTTGAAATTCTTTGGCTGATATAAATCTTACATTCAGTGCGTTTAAATCATCTTCATTAAAATGAGATGCTTGGGTAAGCAGGTCTCTGACTATTTTTCGCGACCCCTTAAGAGTTGAAAAAAATTTACAAATTTAAGTATTGAATAAAAAAAGATTATTGGGTCAATAATAAGAAAAATATGATTTTTATATAGAAGTTGGTCATATTTAATGATTCGGGCTAAACCGTCCTAAACCTGCCCATACTTTTTCTATCTTTTAATTTTATTAATCATATTGCTACAATAATCACCCAGGGTGGTAGTAGTCCTAAACCTAAGGAAATAAATAATGTTTCGCCCATAGCAAAAAGTCCTTTTACATTTCGCCTTTTAGTTGTGCCCTAAACTGTCCTAAACGTCCTAAACCCTTTAGTCTGAATCACTAGTCAGATTTATTATCATTATTAGATTATTTTGTAATTTAATAAATTTATTTTACGAGCTAATCATGTGCAAAACGTAATTTTTATAGTAACTTAAATTGCATTTTATTAATTTTATCATCATCTTAAAAGATTCCGAGGCCTGTTATTTCTTATGATAAAACATGAGCAATACAAAAGTAGAAAATTCGTTTAGTATTGCACAGTCGAAATAATCGACGGATTTCATGAAAAATACTTAAGGTTGTATATATATGAGAAATTGGGTTGCACGAAAAAACATGTGAATTCGGGTTTTATCAACGCAATACATTTTGTTATTTCATTGAAATCAGAAATTTGTATAGCAAATGAAGGTTGAAAACTATTAGAATCAATTTGAGTTTGAGTTTTTATAAAATGAATTTTCAATTCTCTAAGTTGGATTGTTTTTCGGGCAAATGATTAAAATATTGCTTATCTACTACAATTTATACGGAATATTTGAGTATCCAATATACAGATATTCTACACCTATATAGGTAATATTTTAATTTAATAATAGTTATGTAACTTTCATGGTCTCGCCTAAAAAATTTGGTTTTTTATATACAAAAATTTTTAATACATTAATCTAGAAAGCAATATCGGGATAAAATTTCTCAATTACAGAAGAAATGTTAAAAAAATTAAAATAACAAATATTTTTATTAATTAATCTTGTCACAAAAAAATTTGCAATTCAGTTAATAAAGTTGTAAATGACTTTCTTTTTTTTTTTTAAAAAAAAAAGTCGACCATTAAATCTCTATTATAGTAAATCCGATAATAATTACTTCTAACTTTTAAATTACCACTTTAATATTTTTTTTTAATCTAAATTCCAATACCTATAATAAATATAGAAGTAAAATGTTCAATTTTAATAATAATTTATAATTGATTATTATATCAAATATTTAAAGAAATCATTACCTAACGCGAAAATCGTCACTTTGTAAATTTTAAAAATAAAAGATAGTATAAATAAATAAATAAATAAGTAAATATATATATATAAAAATAAATATATATAATTAATAATATAAAATATGAAAAAGAAAATACCTGCAACTAATAAATCCAGGTTCTGTTGGTGATGCAGCAATACATCTAATAGTACTGGCATGTCCTACGAAAGATTTAAACGGGTTTCATAAAAATTGATGAACGCATTTGGCGAAGGTCATTATATGAAGTTCGAAATTGTGAATTTTATTAAAGAAAACTTACCACCCCAACGTTTAAGACATTTCCCGGTACGTGAATCCCAGCATACAACGGTATTGTGTACTTCATCGCTACTAAGAACATAATCTTCATTATAAGTAAAAGTTGTTTGTAGTGTATTATCCTAATTTATGATTAATCGATATTATTAAAGAATTTTAGCAATCAGAATACATATTATACATATTATACGTGTCTAATACAATACAAGTTTAATAAATTCAAAAATTTCACCTTATGCGTAGCACCTTCATATTGTAAAACCATTCTTCCACTAATGGATTCCCATAATCTAGCTATAGAATCTCTTCCACCAGAAAGAACATACTTTCCAGTTTTTGAAAACTTTACACTGGAAACAAGAGCACCATCATGAGCATTTTCGATAGTCGTTGTACATCGACCATTCATTGCATCCCAAATTTTTATGCTACCATCCATTGATGAAGTAACAAATTGAGATCCATTAGTAGAATATCGAACCTAATAATTTTAAATAATTTTACATAAAATTATTCTTTATTCTATTTATTGAAATTAATTGAAAATAAATATCTTTACTTTTGTTATTCCGCCTTTGTGTTGATCACCTGGTACAGTGGAAGCTGTAAAACATTGAAAATTTTTTACATCATAGGCTCTCACAGATTCATGATCAGTTCCTTTAATATATATATGAATAGAAGAAGATGAACTTGATTTAATAATAATAACTCATGAAAAAGCAAATGTTTCTACCAAAAAAAAACCTGCTAATATATAATCTCCTGATGGATGAAATGCTATAGATCTTACGATGTGCGTATCCTATATAAAAAAAAATTTATAAGTTGTAATTGTTGTAATGTGTTCCGATTGATGAAAATTTTTTTTTGAACAAATAAATATAAATTGTAACATAAATTTACTTGCAAATATCTAAATGATCTCTTAACTCCGGGTTTTGACAAATCAAATAATTTGATACTTTGATCATCTGAACATGAAGCAAGAACGAGACCATTTGGATGAAATGATAAATCGTTTACTCCCTATTATAATATATTTAAACGAATAAAACAAATTTATTGTCACCTGTAAAAATTACCAGATCAACAACCACATTAAATATAAAGATTATTTAAATTCTTACTGCTAAATGATCATATAAAGTCCGTATAACAGGTCTATCTTCATCTGAACGACTATTCATTTTACTTGTATCAAGAACTTTTAAAGAAGCATCAGCTGATCCGGTGGCTGCATACTTTCCTAAATTTTTTAAATTTTTTTTTGACGCGTGGACAACAGATAAAGATGATAATATTGTATTAAGATTATCACAATTTGATTAAATTTCGAGCAATAAATATATTATATGCATATATATATTCGTACCATCACCACTAAATATTGCACAAGTTGAGGCAGCTCGATGAGTAGTCATATACCACGTAGAATAATTAGGGGCAGGTTTAGGAACTATGTAAAATACAATTAATACAATTGATATATAATAAGTTGATATATATATATAATAAATATTGATTTAAACGATTTCTCGAGAATAATCCAAAGAAGAAAATTTTTACCATTTCTAGTTTCTGGATCAACATGAGTCAAATATTTTGAATGATAAACCCCATCTTCTCCTGGACTACTACTTTCATCAGAATCAGGATCCTCATCAGGAATTTCGCATGGTTGCATTTCATCGCATTCATCTAATAAATAAAATTAATTAAAAATGAATAAATAATAATAATAATAGAGATTTAAAAGATTTTTTCTTTAAAAAAAAAAAAAAAAAAGAAAGAAAACCTTGTTCCTTTGCAATATAAAGTAATTCTGATAATTTTGAACTAGGTGTTAAATCCACTGGAGTATCCGTTTGTTCTGCAACTACTTGAGCCAATTGAGAATATCCATATTCACATAATTGACTATAATAATCATATCATAGAATATATAGATAGTAATTTTTATTTTTGAACTTTTTAATATAATTTTTTTATTTATTTATACAAAGAATTCGTTTTATTAACAAATAAATAAATATATTTGATCACATATAGATCCAGTAATAAATAATCACTATTCACCAAGAAAAAAAAATTAATACAAAATTTCATAAGTATTGTATTAATATATTAATATATAAAAAAATAAATTTTTATTTAAAGTATTCTTTTTATTTTACAATAAGATTTTTACAAATTAAAATCAAAATACATAATAACACCTTCTAAACACGAACCTAATTCCTAAAGTATACTAAAGAAATAATATCATCTTTCTAATTTGTAAAATATATTGTAGCTAACCTTACTATCAACGGAATAACTTCTTCGGTAGGTAAGGTTGGTGGATTCATTATACTCAAAATTATTATATAATTATATTTTATGCGCAAAAAAAAAAAATTTTAATTCGTTAATATAATAATTTAATTGTCACGGGGGTGTAGAATAATTTTCGAAGAGAAGGATTTTTTTCTATTTAATTATTTTAATCCCGTTACATTAAAAATGATGTGAAAATAACATCTGGTCAATTTTGGTAATTTCGATATTATTGTAATTTTGTTCAACAACTTTCTACACCTGTCAAAAGATGTTCTACAGCACGTCCCCATTAACACGCACGTCGTCATAACTTGTACTACGTAACTGTTAAGGATGATCATCATCGTCTCCTAAAGAAAACAATTACTCTTCGCACCAAAAAAAAACACCACCTCGAAAAACGCGTAACTTCTTTCCCGCAGTCCGCAGTCCGCAGCATTAAAGGATTTCTTTAATGTTTCGCGTATGCACAAATAATATTGGAAGAAGAATAAAGTAAAGACTTCTACGCTTTCGTTCTAAATGGTAAATCTCTACAAAATAAATGGTGAATGAAATTTCATATCTTGTTTGCAAATTTCAAATAATTCAAATCATTTAAATACGTGATTTCATTTTATTAAAGGAAGAGATATATATATGAAGGTCAACCATAATAACTTTTTTTATTGAGTGAAAAAAAAAATTTGATGTTTTTTTTTTAGTATTATCTACACAAGAAAAAATGATTTTTTTTCCCCAGAGAAAAAAAAATTAAATCTTTCCTTACTAAATTTACATCTCTTACTACTATTACTATCACACAATCATTATCTTTACTATTACATCTATTTCTTACTAACTACATTTTTCATCTTAACATCATCTTTTTTTGTACACATAAAAAAAAAAAAATTCAATTCGTAAAAAACCCCACCAAATTATTCCAATTATATTCTTATTTATCTTGATTTATCATATCCTAGCAAGGTAAGGTTATTAAAGCAAAGAAAAAGAAAAGAAGAATTTCTTTGATCATAATCTTTTTCTAATGATATATTTGTATACTATTTGGGATATAAAATTTTAAGGAAAAAAAGAGAGACGAGAAAAAAAAAGATTTATATATATATATACAAAAGAATATATATATATAAAGAAAAAATAAAAGAAAAAACTATTCTATAACGATTATCTAAAATTTTTTTTTTTCAAAAAAATGTTTCATTAAAATTTCTTTTTTTTTAAAAATTTTCTTTTTCAATTTTTTTTTTTTTTTTTTTAAAGGAAAATAGGTATATATATATATATTAAAGAAACGCAATAAGAAAAACAGTATCAAGAAAATGGAATCAAGAAATATGGGGAATTGTATTAAAAAAAAAGAGCTTGCAATTAAAAAAAAAAATAATAATAATATAAGTTATTTCTTTCATGAGAGATTCAAAAAAATCAACTTTCTTACAACCATAACACGGAAAGCAAGCGAGGCAAAAAAGGGAATCAAAAGTTATATATACATATACAGTATATATATATTTTGGTATTGCCTTTAAATCTATTTGCTGCCTTTCTATATAATCCGTATATACGGCCTTTTAGATGTTCGCGCATTTCTTTTGTTTTTTTTTTTTTTTTTTTATTTTGAAATGATGCGATTACAAACACGACGGCCGGGAAGCGGAGATAAAATTTTAATACGAGAATTGTTTTTTTCTTTGGACAAAAAATTGAGTTGTTTTTTTTTTGCCATAAAGTGATATAATTAAAAAATTTTTTTCTTGTTATGTAATAATAAAAATTTTTTGTGATTTATACAAGACAGAGATAATAATTCAAAATAGTAATTATAATATAATAATAAAAATTTTTTTAATCACCATATGGCTTCAACTATTATTATAAAACTAAACTAAAGGAAAAAAAAAACAATATAGTCCAATTTTTTTTTTTTTTAAAAAAAAAAATTTATTCTCGATAAAATTATATACGTTGCTGATGCTGCTTACGGAAGCGTGAAAAAGGTGTTTTAAATTTTTTTCAGGGTAGTAAATATAATTTATAGAAACTATAAACCTCCAATTATTTATTATATTTATAAATTACATCTTTCCACATGTAGTGATATGTCTCTTCCAAGCATCTTTGCGTGAAAATGGTTTATGACAAGATGTACATTCGTGAACTTTCTCGCCTTTATGAATACCATTAATATGTCGTTTTAAATCATGTTTTCGAGTAAATCTTGAACCACAATTTGGATGTTCACAAGCGAATGGTTTGACTCTATTTGGATCATGCGTCTGCCTGTGCGTTTGCATATTAAATTTTCGATTAAAACCACGTCCACAATCAGGACAGTTATACTTCTTCTCCTCATTTTCTTCATCGTTTTCATCATCATTATCCGACATACTCCTATTTCGTTGTCTTTTACTTCTACGAGGAGGATCCGGATTATCATCCTCCTCCTCTTGCGGTCGAGGTCGAATCGCTACCAAACGAGGAGTAGTTACCGGAGAATTTGGCGAAGAAACAGCAGGAGATCCACCTAGAGAAGTGTTAGTGTTATTAACAACTTCAGTAGTATTTTCATCAACATGAGAAATGGATTCTTCAACAACAGATGGTGATGCTGAAGAAGAAGCAGAAGGAGAAACGGAACTTGGACCACTACTATTGGGAGAAATTACTCCAGTAATATTTTCAATTGATGCTTCGGTTTTATCTTCGGTAGGAGAAACGGCCGCCATATTTATATTAATATTACAGATATTATTGAAGTTATTATTAGGGATATAAGTTATATAATTCTGGTCTAGGTGATGCTGAGGAAGCGAATAGGGAGTCGAAAGCGTTTCAGAATCGTCAAATAAGTTATAAAACTCTGTATCCTTGTCCTCGTAAAGAACTAAATCGTTTTTGACTATTGGTGTCGTAAAAGTAGGTGTAGGAGGCACAAAGAAAGGCGTATTCGTAACAGACGAACCGTTTGAAAAACACTGATCGTTCTCGTTTTCAGGATTATACGAGACGATTGGAGAAAGGAATAACCCCGGAGTTATCGGAGTATTTATATTAAATGGTATCTCACTTAGACCAGGCTGTATACCAACAGTTGAATGTATGTTGTTGGTATTATTTGATATGGGAGATAGTAACAACGGATTTATGTAAGGAGAATTTATTATATTTATTGAGTCAGAAACCGTCAAAGGTTGAGCAGGTTGCGGTGAAAATGGGAAGAAATACGGAACTTGTTCGTTTTTGGAAATGCCGATTTGTGGCGAAGTACTTGTAGTATTTGATAAAGTTGATTGGTTTGTGGAGGTGAAACAAAAATTTTCTGCAGGTGGTGATAAGATTTGTAAGATTTGATGACGAATATTAAAATTAGCCGATACGTTCGGATCGGATGAATTATGGGGTGAATCAATATATCCTTCTTGGAAAATACCTTGAGGAATTAATTCTTGGGGATATGATAAATTCCCAATTACATCTGAAGAATTTGTATCTTGGGAATAAATGTCAAAGTCGATGTGATTATTATTTACACAGTGAATAACTTCAGATGTATTGGCAGCAATAGTTGGTTGAGTAAAGTGAGACTGCATTACTTGAAAGATTAATTCTAAAGACGTAAAACAAAAAAAAAAATTAATAAAATTATAAATAATTTAATAATAAATATAATAAATAAATTATTTAAATAAATTGGTTAAAATAGTTTGTGGAATTCAAAGAAGATATATGAAAGAATATACGAAATGGTGTTCGAAACGAATAAGGATAAAGAAAAAGGAGAATATGAAAATAGTGTGAATAAAGTACGAAAGAGTTGAATCAAATATTTGCGAAAATAATATTTTTAATTTGTTGATTGTTATTTCAAATAAACAAACCAAAAAGAAAATAAAATGAAAACAATAACAACGAAAAAAAAAAAAAACGAAATAGACGTACTTATATATTCTATCAGTTATTAAAGACTTGTGAGTTGGTTTATTCGAAAAATCAAAAGATAATAATAAACTTAAGAAAAATTGGTGTATTCGTTAAGAAAAAGAAAAGAAGAAAACTTTTTGAACAATTTTTTTTTGTATTCAGGCACTTTAGAAGTGGTTAAAGTTTTTTTTTTTTTTTTGAAACAACGTTATTTATAAAAAAAATTGACAATAACAAAAAGTTGACTTTAATTTTAAATTAAACACACATAACATATTTTATAACATACAATAAACATATAATAAATAAATATATATAGTTAACTTGAAGTAAAATAAGACACAATAGCATAATAAAAATAAAATAAAATAAAATAAAATATAATATAATAAAAAGTATAAATTATGTAAAAAAATATACACACATAAAATACAAAAATGTACACTTGAATACAAATATACATAAATACGAATTTACAGTTATAAAAAATAAGGTGTGAGACATAATTAGTGAAATATAAGATGTGACTAAAAGTGATAAAATCGATACATATTTTTGTGTAAAAAATAGAAGTTACACAACTTTACAAAGTTTGAAAAAAAGAGATGAAGAAAAAAGATGAATAAGTGAAATGGAAAGAAAAAGATAATTGAGGGAGTAAACTATATTTAACTATATATGGCCTTGGTCTTTTAATATATTATTAAGCTTATTATTAATATTAATATTATATTATTAATTATTATGATTTGATTTGTAATAAATAAATTTATACAAATTAAAAAAAAAACAATTTAAAACAATTTAAGCATTTAAAGATCTTTCTCAAATATCAAGAACGTCTTTGATATCTAATCTCCGACTTATACACAATAGATGATGTGCGTATAGAAGAGATATAATAAGAAATAAGAATTAATATGATAAAGCGAAGGTGATAAAGGAGAACGCTAAGATTTATATGGGTATATATAAAAGGTGAATTTCTTCTAACAGAAAACTGAAAAAAATAAACAATGACACAAATTGAGACATTTTTTTTTGAAAACTCCGATTCAGAATTTTTTAAATACCCTTTATTATAGTTTATTATAGTTTATTATAGTTTATTATTTTTTTTTGTTATGCATGCTTTTTTATTATAGTTTATTTTTATTTATTATTATTATTATTAATCAAAAAAAAAAAGAAATTGATGCATTACGAATCAAGCAATCAAAAAAAATCAAGAACAATAAGTATTTTAAAGGAGCATATAACTACACAGTATTATATCTCTCTCTATATCTATATATAATTACTATTCACCTATTTTTAAACTTTAATTTCTTGATTTCTTAATTTCTTGTGCTTATTAATTTTCTTGTGTGCTTTGTGTCTTATTTTCTTGTATCTGGTAATTTTAATAATTCATTGCGATTTTAACTATTTGTTTACTCATTTTATTCAAGATATAATTTATTTCTATTATTATTATTATTATTATTTCCATATTCATGTTAAATCTTGGGTTTATTTCCATTTGTTATTTGTCTAATATAATATTTGATGACTCATTATTGGTAAATATTTCTAATTAAAAATCTTTTTTCTTTTTTGAAATTAGCAAATTCTCATTCAAAAAAATTGTATCTGATTTATCGATCCTTTAATATTGGACTTAATTATTGGTTATATTTAGATTAGATTTAGATTGATTATACAATACCTGAACTTTGAATTGATCTCATTACTTATTAACTTATTAAATTGAATATTTTATTTTGAATATATTAAATATCACGGAATTTCAAGGAAAACATTCTCTCGTTTTATTATCAATAATTTTAAAAATAACAACAACAATTTAATATATACCATAACAATGTAATTTACATAATATAATTTACGTTTATGACAACAATAATTTACAACAATATAATTTACATCAATATCATATCAATTGCCTAATTAAAAAAAAAACCAATTAAAATTTTATCCCCAATTTTATAATTTTATCACCAATTTCATCATCACATTGTCTAGTTTGTCTCTCCTCTCCGGATTTGAATTCCGATTTTGAAACATTTAATGAAACAAAAAAAAGGATCAATTGAATTTCCCACAATAAAGTAATAATAATAATAATATATCAAGTAATAATAGAAGTAGCATACAGACATTTAAACTCAAATATAAACTAAATGCACTAACATACATATAAGCGCACCAATTAACCAATTACGATAGTCAAATTTTTTCCCATAAAAGTTGTCCTCACTGCGGTCAATGGTATTTAATGATATTTGTGGTAATTTACGATGATGGATGGTTGACTTTTTGACGCACCTTAGATAATCAGTCAGTCATTGCACTTTCGAAATTTGGTATTTTTTGATTGTTATGTGTGATACGAGTATTTGAGTGGTTCGCTGTTTGAGTTGTTTGATTGGTTATGCTGTGTCGTTGTTCTGATGGTGCGTCTTTGTTTATATTTTAAATAATTTTTTTGATAGTGGGTGCGTCTTTGTCTTCTCATTCTAATTGGAATTTGTACATTCAATGGGGTTGCGTCTTCCTCAGGTTTCTCAAGGGATGTGTAATTTGTACGTGTATTTGTATATGTATTTGTAAATTTGTATGGGTTATCTATCTTTTTTTTTTTCGTTATCTCCTATTCTATTTATAAATTAGGGTTTGACCCTCGTGGGAGAGGAATTGAAAGGAGCGTCTTTTTTTTTGTATTAATCATCAATTATTAATTAACCAGCTTATTAACCTGAAGCATTTATTTAGACATGATTTAAATTTGACGAAATAGAAAATTCCTTAAATTCCTAAAAATCCTCTTAATTTGGAACACGTCTATGAGATTTTAATGTATGCTAATTTGTCAAATGTGGTTAACAAGAACTATTATTTTTATTATTTCTGCATAGAATATTATCGAAATTCTATCTATGCTATCTGGAACATCCAACTTCTCCCACCCCTAAAAAACAAAAAATATATATATATATAATAATAATAGTAATAATAATAATAATAATAATAATAATAATAATAATAATAATAAAATTATCAAATGACAGCACAGAATCATCATCACACACATATTCAAGTTTGATGTATACTATGAGAAGTTAGATTTAGTCAATTGACCAATTGACTATGCTGTCGGACTATTGTGCTGTCGTAAATGTCATTGATAAATTAAATTTTTAATTTAAAAATTAGTAAAATCAAAAATATATTTTATTTCATTTATTATTACATAGAGAAAATACATGAATAGCGTGAATAAAAATATTTATATATATATGCATATTATAAGTTCTCTATAAAATATGTTATCGTAAATATTATCGTAAATACAATTAATTAATTTAATTAAATTAAAATTAATGACGGATATGATATGACGGATATGACGGGTATACGGATATTCCGTTCAAAATAATAATTAAAATTTTTATTTTATTTATCCAAAAAAGTTTTTTGATTGGTTTATTTATGGAAAAATTAATTGCAATTGTGACAGGTGATAGATAATTTTTTGTGATAAAATAATTAAATATTACTGAGTAAATTTGACGAATCGAACGAACGATTTACACAGTGAATTCGTGTTTATTAGATTGTTTATGTGTGTTGAATCTGTTTGTACAGTTTTTGTACTGTATGTGTTGAATAAAATAACACATAAATATATTTATACATTATTTGAATATATTATTTTAATATATCTTTTTTTTTTTTTTTTTGAGTATAATTTTACCTACCCCAAATAATCCCCCCAATTAGTATATGTGTATTAGCCATAAGATAACAGATATTCTCGCAGATGTTCTTTCTCGTTTGATCGTCCTTATTAAAATATTTTTTCATTCATCGTATACTATTTTTGGATAAATGTCATACCTCAAATATTATTGATATTTATTGATTGATATAATTATTTATACTTATTTATACTTATCTGAACTTAAAAGATTGCGGGTAAAAGATTTTTTTTTTGTAAAATATTTATAAAAATATATTTATAAAGTAAAGTTACATCAAGATACTGATTTAATGAATGCATCATGTACAGGTAATCGCAAAAAAAAAAGCAATCGAGCATATCAATCGAGAACATTGGAACCTTGGCGTTACTTTACTGTTTAGATAAAAAAAAATTGTTTATTATAAATTATTAGATTAAAAAGTTTTTTTAAAAAAAATTAATAAAATCTAGAATTCGGTAAATAGGAGTAAAGATTCCGATAGAAGTTCAAAAAACAATAATTAACATATACCATAAACATAATTTATCAGCTGCTAATGTTGTAATGTTGTCATTGTAATTTAAATTGTAACCTGCATATAATAATAATAATATTATTATTATGGTTAATGCATCATTTTTATCTCTTTCCTTTTCCCTTTATCTCTCTCTCCTTCTTACTGCTCTCGTACAACAATTTATTCTTCGTTCGTTCAACAATTCTCAAATTAACAATTTCAGTAATTCTTTGGTGAATCTATCGTTACATAAGTGACTTCAGTAGTCCAAATTTGTATAACTTTTGTAATTAGTGTAACTGTGTAACTTGTGTAATTTATGTGAGATGTATAATTTTGTGTAATTCGTGTAATTTGTGATTTTGCGTAGTTTGCGTAGTTAAAAACCTTCGATAAAATTTTCCTATTACATATCAACATTATATATATATATATAACAAGTGCTTTTTGTGTACTTTCTGTGTGCCTGTGAAAATGCATTCACAATTCATTCACATTCCCGCTTTCTCACAATTTTTTTTTATGACATGCGACTTTTGATTTTTCGCACCAACCATTTTATTTATTCGATACGCTGCTTTTTTCTGTTATCTTATCTTAATGTAGATTTATAATCCAAAAAAAGCTAAAAAAAAAAAACTAAAAATTAACTAATTATATATATTAATATCTGGAATATTGTATTTTGGAACATTTGGAATATTTGGGAATTAACGGAAACAATGATAATAATAATGCAACAAAATAATATAACGGTAACGGTATAATAATAATAATAATATGGTAATAAAAAAAATAAAATATTGATAATGTATAATGATCATTTATTTAATATAATAAAAAGATAATAAAGTTCTCAGCTGACAAAAGATATCGGGCATTTCCAAAAACTTTAAAATATATATCTACAAGAAAATAATTAAATTATTTTTAGAATTCTATATTATAAAATAAAAAAATTACATAATTATTTATTTCTTCTAATTCTTTAAAGATAAAATTAAAATTAAAATTAAAATTAGAATTTTTAAAAAAAAATTTTTTTTCTATCTAATTCTAATTAAGATAACAAAGGTTTCGGTTTCAAAGGAAACTGTATCACAATTGGTTTTATTTGGTTTCTTTCTTTAACGCAAAAAAAGAAAAAAAAATCTGATAAAAAAAACAAAAATCGGATAAAAATTCCTACTGATATCATCCTTTATTTTATTAATATTATCACCGAATGGAGAAATATACAGTATACTGTACTTTGTATATAACAAATATTTTAATACAATATTATATTTGTTTTTTCATTCAACCATGATATTTTTGTGACGGTCTTGTGACACTTTTCTATTGTCAAATCGCTTTATTATTTATATTATTTTCACACATTACTCTTCCTCCTCCTCCTCCTCCCCCTCATATCCCATATCACATCCCCATCAATATATAGTTTTAATGTAAACTCACATGACAAACTATAAATATTTTTCTCATTACATGTTATTACGTGTTGGCATTACGTATTGACATACGTTTTTCGGAAAAACTCTAATAGTCATAAAGTAATAATATTTATTATCATCAATATAAATAATAAAATAGATCAAATAAATTATGTACTGCTTATTACAGTTTATCAAAGTTTTTTTATTTTATTTTTTTCTTTCAAGAGATTCCATTTTAATCAATTATTCTTTGTATAAAATTTTTTTACAACTTTTTTCAACTTTCGGATATTTGTTGTTAGATTTACACTGGATAATAAATAAAAAAAAAAAAGTTATTTTTAGTTACTTGCTTATTTATTTATTTTTTTTTTTTGTTAGTACTTTTACTCTTAATAACCTTATTACCAATAAAGCAGAGGGGATCATTTAGAATACATAATATATATATTTAATATATATAATAGATATCTAATATATATATAATATACACAACTTGTATATGATACACATACAAAATATACAAAATATACACACAATATACAAAATATATGTACAATATATACAATATATACAACATATATAGGTCAAACGATGAAATTCTTAAAATATGTAATAAGAATAGATATTTTAATTTTGAATCAATTAAATTAATTAAATTAATTGAATCAATTGAATTAATTGAATAAATTGAATCAATTATCATTATCATTATTTATTGTTATTATTGATATGAATGTGAATGTGAATGCCAAGAAAATTAGATTTCTGTTGAGAATGAATATCTTTTATTCACATTTATTTTAGTTACATAAATAAAAATTGTAAATCAAATAAAGCCGTTAAAACTTCGGAATTACCGAAATTTTATATTAAAACACGTTCGCATAAATTACGAAAAAAAATATTAATGCCAAATAATTAATGATCATTAATTTATTTTTGGAAAAAAGGGGCATATATTATTTTTATTTTATTTTAATCTTTGAGTTTCATTATTTTATTTAATTTATTTAATTTATTAACTTTATTATTATCGCTATCTTAGTGATTGTTTACTTTTTCGTCAAGAATTAAAAATAAAAATTCCGTTAATTTTAAAACGAGAATTAATTAATTGAATGAAACATGTAATTGAGTTAAGGGAAAAAATCATACAAAATGACTCATAGCAAACGCATTAAACAAATTTGGAAAGTTTAAGTACATTCTATAATTAATTATTACTCTAATCAAAAAAATATTCATTTCTGTTATTATTTATCATTTATTAAGCATTTAATTCAGTGATTTAATTAGGAATTTAATTTAAAAAAATGTAAATACCGGTTAAATTTATTTCCGATCCCTTTTGATGATGATCCCACTGATTGTGATATATTTTTTGGAAAAAATTAAGGACAAATTCATCAATTTTGGGTAATTATTATAATATATATATATTGTTAGAATAAAGGATACAGGTATAAATACTAATTTTTTTTTTCCGTGAAGAACTTGTCCAAGCGGCATCCGACCTTAGGACCTGGTAAAAAGCTATTGTATTAATGATTTCATCTTGGTCTGTCAACGATAGCTGTTCTGTACTGCAACGTATTGCATTGTCTTGTAATATTTGAAGTTCGTGCTCAGTAGAAATTTAATTGTTATATAGTTTCCAATGTCTAATAATTGGTAATTTCTATGTTTCTTTCTTCAATTGTTCTTCAATCAGATCGATGCTTTGCCTAGCTACCTCAGAACGTCACTACGGCCTATGTAGATCTTTTTAAATTCTGCAAGCATCGATCTGAGGCACAATAAATTTTTAACATTATTCAATGAGACCCAATTCACGAATAACTATATTTACCTTCGTAATGTCAACATACTTTGAATTGATCCCGTGCTTTGTTGTTTGATAAAATTATTGAGATTTTCGTTAATGAAGATATTCACGAGCGTTACAATTTGTAACGCCGATCACTTTCAAAGAAAATTGTCATATTGTGTCTGCGCCACATTATTGCCCAAATCACGTATTACTTGATCTTTTTATAACTGCACTTGCACTGCTTGAATTTTTTCTATTTCTATTCCCATAAGTAACGTATAATTTTTTTTTTGCTCTGAATGTCCTTTGACGCAAGTTTACATCAGTGATATCTGGGAGAAGTGTTTTTATTTCACTGTATACATAATGTTCTAACGAAAATTCAGGAATTTTGTATATCAAATACATCACTAATTTTATTATTATTTTCTTTAACGAATGCAGATAACTCGTGTCTTAAGTAAGCATCTCATGTCGAAAAAATACTTCAAACGTCCATGTTCCGAATAGAATATTTTTGGATTCTTTTGAGTGGGAAATGGATGGCAGGGTTTTTTTGTCATCGACGGTATTGAACTCCCTGAGGTCCACTGTTTTTTAAGGTTCCTAAGTTGACTCAATACTGGCCCTGTTGGAGCTCAAACGATTCCCTGAGATCGTTTGATGTTCAAGGTTCCTAAGCCGATCCAACAGTTAAATGGTTAAGGAAGTTATAGGGTTATAGATAATTGGGTTGTTTATCAAAAATATTCAAATAACAGACTCCTTTATATGCTATGATCCTAAACCGGACTAAAAAATTGCGCGAAAGTGGAAAGCCGAGCACCAATAAACAGATTCATCTCCACAATTTAACACTTGTAGATGTAAGTAATGGAATCGGAACTATAGGAAGTATAGGAACTGTAAATGAGATAACAAATAATAAATGAATAGAATACAAGTAGGTTAGGAATGATAGTAATTGGTATTAGAATTGAAGACACTTTGGCGCAACTTAAAGCTTCCAATATTCTTGGTGTAAAATTAACTGGACTGGATATCAATAATCACAAAATCACATAATGTTCTGAACTTTGATGATCATCAGATTATAGTGATTTTCCAAACAATAAAGAAAAGTAGCACAATAATGAACAAATAACATAATATTATTATAACCTATCATCTATTAAATGTCTAAATTCGTTGAGTTGAGTTATCGTTACGGCATTTTCATCTCGAATATCATAAATTATTCCGATAGTTCATCATCTTCTTATCTTCCTCCAAGATGAGATGTAATCAATTTCTTTCATTAAGGAGATACAACAATTATCGTTCATAATAGGTTATCATCATCATCATATTCGATAGAGGAGAATAATGTTTAACATCATAAATATTCTAAAGAAGAAATATTATTCGTCCTTGTGAAGAAGAAGCAGAAAGAAAATATTTCAATAAAACAAGTTGAAATTAAAGGAAACTATAAGATCACTCCTTTGTTAATGCTTCAGATAATTATAAGAGAACATCATTTCATGACAGAGATCGGAGGTGAAAGTTTTGAATCAAAGGATAGGATGTCATTACGCGAAAAACATAATATTATAAGTGGTAAATTGGATGATAGAAGTTGTAAAGATTCAAGAATGAATGAATCTCAGAACTGAATAACCAGGTGGTGATAAAAAAAAAAAAAAGCTGTAAAACAATATTCGTTAATCTAGATTATTTTAATAATAACTGGGATTTGATCCATCAAATTACTAGAGCATCATCAGTAACTTCTGATTTTAATTCACCTCTGATTTTGTACATAGGATTATGGTCAGGATATATTTTAGAAAAAGGATTATTTGAAACTTTGACTATATGATGAATCTACAAATATTTCAGGAGCAGTATAAAATCTGTTGACAACATTCCTGCTGGTTGAATCAAGAATTCTATTAACATATTTCCAGAATGAAGGTCTTGATGATCATATCCATGTTACTGTGAGAGAGAGAGGTTTCTATTCAGTATTTATTGATATATATATTCGGTATTTATAAAAATTGTTACATTTACTTTTTGGATTTTTTTTCCCTCAATAATTAGAAATGGAAGAGATGGAAGTTTGGTAATCATATTAAGATTATATTTTATTATCCGTATCACAAGAATATCTTGAGAATAGTAATAAATTATCAAGGAACAAGAATTTGCAGTTCGTGGCGGATTATTGTGGTTTAAACGGATCTTGGTCGTTGCTTGAGATTATATATTTATTCATTATTTAATTAATTTATTTATTTATATTTACCTTACTTTTGATGGTTGATGATAGATACGAATGTATTCAATGTATTCACGAGAAACAAAACAAAAATTAATATACATATTCCAATACCTAATAATATATTTAAGTATAGTTGATAATGTGTTACTTGTTTATTGTACAGATTGAATATAATATCAGATATATCAATAATATGTATAAAGAATAATAAAAAAAAAATTTTATTAGGTTTGAATATAAAATTGTATCCCAAGAAACAATTATATTTATATACCATAAGATAAATAAATAACTATAAAATTCCTAAGGAAAATAAAAATAATTTCTCTAAGAGAAATTATTTTTGTTTGATATTCTCCATTTGCGTACTGAATAGTTTATTGATAATTATAATAATTATAAACAAATTCAGTGATTGTCAGGAGGTTTATTTTAATAAGATTTTTTTTTTTTTTTTAAAAAAAAAAAATAAATTATTATTATTGTTATTATTAAAATTAAAATAATCTTTTTTTAGTATAATTACACATCTAAGTGTTAATGAAAGAAGTGTTGGTAAAAAAAAAAAAATAATAATTTTGATTTAATTCTGTTTTATTAACATAAAGTTTCTCAAAAACTTTATAGTTGATAAATAATTATATCTACAAAAAAAAATGTCTTTTAGTGAAAGAATGAAAATTAAAGTTCTATCTTTAAAAAAAGTCTAAGAATTATAATTAAAAATTAGATTATCTATTATAACAGTTGGAAATAATAATATTCAAAAAATTTTATCTAAAAATATTGTAATCCCCAATAACATAATACCAATAATCCTGTACCTATAACATCCACTATGGCAGTTCTATTTATAGTGAATTATTAATGAACAATTAGTCTAGTGAAAATTGAAATTTTGAAAAATAAAAAATGAAATTTACTCACATGTAAGGCAAAGAATAATTATCTGGATCATATTTATGATTCCATAACCAAAGAGTCAATTTCTTTGCAAGTATGAGCGTAAACATTAACTAAGAAGACAAATTTAAAAATTAATTAAAAATAAATTTATAATTATTATATTTAGTTATTGGTTATTACTATTAATTTATTTTAGTTATTATTTAATTATTTAATACATACACAAAGAACCGAGACAATTAGATAAATAATTAAAAAATTTATTGAAAGGTTGACATGTCCAACGTCAGACCACCATACAAAAATTAAAAATCCAACTTCAATTGGTATATGAATAAGAAACAGTGTTATTTCGGATCGACGATAATCTTCTTCACCACCGCCGTGAAGTCGGGTGGATATTCTTGACGCATATATGGATCCAAGGTTACCAGTGACACCTTATAAATTTGTATTGATATTTATATAGAGATTTATTATTATTTAATTAATTAATATATTGAACTGCAGTAAAATTGTTGTATATAGTTATATATAGTTGTTACATACCATTAAGTACAGGTGTTAAAAGTGCCAGTCCGGTATATTGTTCAATATATTTTTCTAAAACCAAACCAGCCACACTATTTAAAGAAATTTTTAATAATCTCAATAATTGTTATGATGAAAGGTCGAATAATCAATAATTCATCAATTACATAAAAAAAATTACCTTGAAATAATCATCGCAATGAACAACGGCGTCCATCCATTTATTAATAGATCTCGTACATATTTATTAACCCAGGCCATACGTATCCATAAGAATGCACTAGTTGCTAATATCATGAACATTATGGTACTAATATAAGTTTCTAAAAATAAAGAATAACCATGAATTAAAAATCTTCCGATATAATCTGTCTGTTTTGAAATTTGTTAATAATTTTATTAATAATTGTAACTTACGAACATAACGTAGTAGAAATTCACCACAATTCGCAAGAATAATTAAGGTGAGCAAGTCTCCAAGTGATGATGCCATAGGACATGCGATATTATCTATATATTATATATGTATTTATATAATTTAATGTAAAAAATAATTTTTTTTTTTTTTTAAAAAAAAAACTTACGAAATAATTTAAACGTTACCTGGATTTATGCGAAACCTTTGAGATAATATTATAAGAATACACATAAAAGTTCCCAAAATCATGCTACTTAAAGCTGCGCATACCATTGATGAAACTATTATCAACATTATTTCGCTGTAAGTACTCACGTGAATCGGATGAAAGATTACTCCTTCCGTAAAGGAAAATAATCCGGCAACTGCACCAACAATCAATGATTGTACTTGAAGAACAGCAAGATTACCCCAAATTAATTCATACCGAACAGAAGACTTATCTAATTCACCTAAATTCGCCTTTATATTATAATTCAGATTAGATTAGATTTTAATTAATTAATTAATTTATTTTTATTTTTATTTTTTTTTTTTAAATAATAAATAAAATTAAAATACATACCGAAGTTGATAATCGAGATGCTAAATTCATTTCAAGGTTGCCTTTCAGATTTAATAGAACTGGTACCAAAACAAATAATTCGGGAACTTCATTAAAAACTGGCCAATGCTATAAACAATAAAAATTTAATATTGAAGAATTGAAGATCAAATTAAATTAAATTAAATTAGATTAAATTAATAAAATAAAATAAGATTATCTAAAATTTTTTTTATTCTTTAAATTATTAATCAATCGCATACTTGCACTAAATCTAGAAGCCAACCAGCAAACATTAATCCTACTACTGATATTATTAAAGGAGGCATTGCCTATAAATATAAATATTTTAAAATATTTTTTAAGTATTTTAAGTATTCTTTATCATCATCATTTAAATAGATCTTATTTTAATCAATTGTAAATTTTGCTCTTGAGTAAAAACCTCGTATGCCAAATTTCTTTCCCTATGAACATCACCAATATCAAGTATTTTTTGTTTCTTGATTTTTCCCACGGGATCACTGTCAGAGTCATCGTCGATATCACAAACTTCAATATATTCACTTTTTATTGACTTTTGAGTTCGAAACCTTTCTATTACAATTGATGTTACTTGGTTTGAAGGAACATATAAATGTTTACTATTTTCCAACTCCTTATCATTCGTTAATTCTGTTGAAGTTTGTAAGGTAAAGGAATCAGAACTACAAGAACGTCTTTTTTCCATGTAGTCTTCAGAAAAGCTTACATTCTCCAACTCTATAAAATCTTTTTGTATGATAGGTAATCGCATATTTGAGTGAACATATTTGACATGTTTGATATTTTATTTTTTTAATCTTTGATCTGCGTAATAAATTTCTTGATTTAAATTATTTAATTTACTTAATTTGTTTAATTTATTTAATTTAGAATTGAGCAAATTATAATTATTATGATGTATTATTTATTTATTATATTATTATATTTATTATAAAATAAATTTAAGGAAAACTCTATAAAATCCTTTTTTGTAATGGTGGGGGAATTATTTATTATTAATTTATTAATTTGATTAAGTTCGTGTCGGTATGTAAGTAGAAAATCCATCAATAATTAAAATAAAATATATATATTTTTTTTTTATTTGAACGTATATTATAAAATATATTTTATATCACAATATTATTTATTATATAAATTTAAATTTATTAAATGCCAAAAAATGTGTAAATGAAAAATCTTTTTTATTGAATTATAATAATATTATTACTATTGGATGTATTTTATATTTTATAAAGAATAATTTACAAAAAAAAAAAATAATAATAAATATTATAAATATTATTCACGATAATAACCAACCAATGTATTAAAACTTTGCGAAATAAATAAAAATTTTATGATGAAAGCATTATTCATTGTTTAATAACCTCTAAAAATCCAAATACAAACAAATTAAACAATTTAAGTAATGTACATTACGCAGATCAAATAAGGTTTGTCTCAAATAAGTTAAAAATAATTGGATTCGATTGAAGTTACACGAATCGTGTTCACATTGCAAAATAAAAGATTTGATCGGCATATAATCTTTGTGTATCTCAAAAAAAAAAAAAATGTTTTCTTCATTCACTCGAGTTTCGTTGGGTAATATATATGAGATCCGATCCTCACAAGAGATTAAATAAAATTATTTATTTATTTTTTTTTTTTTTTTAATTAGGTCGCAAAATAAATGTCAACTTTTTTTTGTCGACAACAAAACGTTTGGTTCCCTCTATTACTACTCAGCAGATTCAACACTCTCAACAGATACAGCAGATTCAACAGATTGGAAATGGAAAAATAATTACCACTAAATTTACTAGATTCATTAGTACTTTACCTTCAAAAGATTTTCTTTTTAGATCCGTTGAGTCATCAAATGCTACTACTACTACTTTTTTAAATTATTATCATTTATTATTATGTCGTCCCAAACTTTCGTTTTCTATTTTCAATAATGTACTATTACCTAATAATGGTGCATTTAGTAAATCTGTTCGTTCCAAGAAAACGTTTAGATATAAAATGAAAACTCATTCTGGTGCTAAAAAACGGTATTATTTTTTTTTTTTTAACTTTTATTTTAGATTATATAATTCAAATAAAATTTTTTTATAATATCTATACATATAATATATATAATTCATTATTATAATTCATGATTTGTTATATATATATATTTGTTATTTCAAAAAAAAAACAAAAACAAAAAAAAAAAAAAAAGATGGCGGGTAACAGGTGGTGGGAAACTCAAACGATGGAGAGTTGGAAAATCACATTTAAACACTGGAGTTTCGAGAACTCGTTTACGTCGTTTGAAAAAACCAGCATTTGCCACAAAAGGTCAAAGGAAAATATTAAAAAGACTTATGCCTTACGCATTTTAAGAAAAAAAAAATGAAATTTTATATGTATAATTTACATATAATACTTTATATTCGATGTATATATATTCAGTTGAGAAATAAAAAATTATCTTTATAAAATTTTTCACCTTTTTATTACCCCAAAAACGTTAGATATAAAATTGGATTATAAAATCATTTATATATTATTATTACGCCAATTACTCAATTTAACGGCTTTGATGATTGATGAGATTTCTTTATGAGAATTCTTTTTTCTAGGAGTAATATTGAAAGATCAATGAGATTAATGATATTTTATGGTACGATATTCGATATAGTTCTCGGAAATAAATATTAAGGATAATATTAAAAAAATTATTTGGGGATGATAACAAGTAAATTAAATGGTAAGTTTATAATAATGCAAATCACATTGTAACACCAATTTTCATGAATTCTTTACATTCATGCGAAAATTCATAAACTTACCATAATTTAAAATTTTGGTGTAACTTTTACACTTTTGTATTTATATTTATATTTATTTTATTTTAGATTATATTGTGTTTTATAAAAATGTCACATCATATAATTATTAAATACATAAATTTCCCTTCAAACCCCCAATTTCCTCTCGTTTCAATTTATCAACTTGTTGCATTTACTGAAAAGAAAAAAATTCGAAAATTTAGAGTAAAAAAATATTTCACTTTATATTCTGCTTAAATAATTAAAAAAACAAAAAAAAAAAACTTCTTTCAAACCTTCTCTTTTTTCTTTTGTTTTGTTTTTTTTTTTTTTTTTTGTAGCGAATTTACCACCTCATTTCCTTTTCCTACCATTTTCTCTCACTCTCTTTTCACATAAGCTTGAGGTTTTTCTCCTTGTGGGAATTTCTTTTGAAAGTTTATAAACCTTTTATACCTTTTCGACACCAAAAAGCCTCTGGGAGGATTTTTACTTCAAAAATTCTTGGCAATGAGAATTGTAAATGTGTGCTCAAAACTGGTATGTATAAATTATTATTATTCTCATATTATATTATTCTATTATTACTTACATATTATTATATTATTACTTACATATTATTATATTATTTTTAATATTAACTCCTATATTTGTTGATATAAAACCCTTAATATAATATTATTATTTATTATTTTTAATAGTGGTCTCGGATAAGGGAATCACAATGGACTACTCTATATATTAGTTGTGCTTTTTTTCAAATGATAATATCTATTGCAATAGAGTCAGTTATATTACGGTTGAACTCGGAGAGCATTTTAAGATTAGGAGATCTTGGTCGCACTTATGATTCAAATAAAAATGACAACCGTACATACTTTTATAAAAATTATACTTATGGAAGTTATAAAACTCAATACCAATCAATCCTTGATGGAAATATTTGGTTCATGGTCTTTGAAGCTTTTATTACAGCATTATCTCTTTCTGCGGTAAATTACAAATGTTTTCATTGGTTTAATATGATTTACAATTTTAAACTCTAAACAACTGTAAAGCTAAAATACTTCCTTTTTTTTTTTTTTAACTTTTTATATTTTTAGTTATTCTTTCAAGTAAGGATGGTTTATTTATTCACGTGATATACTTTAATTAAGCTTGAAATTATATAATATATAATAATATAATAATAACAATAATTAATTTATCGATTATAGAACACGATAGAAATAATATCAATATCAATTATAAATATTTCATTATTATTCTTTGCAGCTACACAAATAATTCAAACTCAAAATTGGACCAACCGTATAAATGGTCAAATTCTAATTGATGCAAGTTCTGACCAAGAGCCTTTTTCAAAAGTTATAATTATATGGGAAGTTACTCAACTTTTGTTCTTGGTAGTATGTGCTGGAGCTTCAGTATTCTTAGGACATAAGTTATATAAACAATTTGGATGGAATATTTATAAAAAAATAGGAGCCAGTATTCAAACACAAAGTATGCATTATATTTTTTATTATGGGTTTTATTTTATTTTTTTTTTTTTTGCACCTTCGACATATGCCTGTCTTATGGGCTTACGGGTGGACATATAGTAACATTGGGTTTTATGGGTGACAAATATAACCATGTCAGTGCGACAAAAAAGAAAAAGAAAACAAAACCCTTTTATTATTGCATTCTTAAATTGACTTTGAAAAAAAAAAAAATTTATTTAATTATCTATTTAATCTTATCTTTATATTTCTTAGAAATGTATAGGACATATCTTGGTATGTATTAAATTTCAATTAAATAATATGTTAAAAGATTAATTTCACTTTTCAAAAAGTAACTCTTTATCTAATATATTATAATTTAATCTCATTTTAGTGTTTCTTTTGTTGTTAAAATTGGATTTCTTTCTTTTGATAAGTTTTCAAATTCTTAATTTGGTATTCTTGTTTGGAGATGCTTCACATAATACTCGATCAATTATTATTCAAAGTATTATGGTGGTTCTTGTTATTCCAATGGTTTGTTTAGCATTGTGGGGGGTAAGTAAAACTATTATTTCTTTCTTTTTCGAATAATTATAAATAATCATTCTTGATTTTTAATAATTCTTCTTCTTTCTTTAAATTCTAATAGGTACGAACTGAAAATAAAGTTGCCATGATCATTTATGTTCTGGCTTCTATGGTTACCATAATTAATTTCATTTATATATTAGCCGAATTCATTATTAAACGTGATGAAAATTTATTAACACTTTTGGTAATTTGTCATTTCATCCTTTGTTTTATTTGTTTCATTCGTTTAATCTGGATTATTTAATGAATTATTAATTTAATTTAATTTAATTCAATTTAATTTAATTTAATTTAATATTAATTAATTCAATTTAGGATATTCTTGGTATTGTACTGACATTGCTTTCATTATTTGTTGCATATTGTGCAAGCAGGAATTTTGGTATGAATTAAAAACAATAATAATTTGAACCTTTTTTTAATTGATTTAATTAATTAATTAATTAACTAATAATTTAATATTAATTTTTATTTTATAATAATCTTTTATGATTCTAGGTTCTGGATTAATAGATCATTGTAAGCATGAATTAATAATTTTATTATTTCTTCTTTTAAAATGTTTGATAATAATATTTGATGATTAATTTGTTTTGTTTTCTTATCTTTTCATTTTAGTTCAAAAGTATGGTGCGGGTACGATCAATCTTGAGACTGGTCGAAAACGTTTTTCAATTGATGATTAAAAAAAAAAAATTAACAACATTGTAATAATAGTAACATAATTTAACAATTTTCTGCATATTATTATTTTTCTTATATTGGAGGGGTACATATGATTTTGTAATACTTTGGTGGTAATGGAGAATTCCGTTCCTTGTATTATATTTCTATTAATTATAATTTAATGAGGAAACAAACGAAAGTGGTAAATCCACGAACTCCTTTATTATATTTAACAATTATTCCATTTTTATTATTTTTTCTTTCATCATAAGTAAAACCAATATTTCTCCTTATGTTTATAGTTTTTTTTTTGTCAATAGACTAATATATTTCATCAATCAATCAATTATCCATAAAAACAGCTTGAAAATTTGATTAAATATTTCGATATATTTCTATGTTGCCTTCCTTTTTTTTTCATTTTTCATTCATATTTTGTTAATATTTACAATTCCTTTAGCAAACAACATTTACATTTTTTTTTTTTTTAATTTTTAATTTTCAATTTACAAAATTATTATTATCATCTTACCTTAATCTCTGGGGTGTGATATTCTTTTAATGCAATGTATATCATGAACACAATTTCTCTTTCTTATTATTTTTATATTTTTATTTCATACCCTTTTTTTTTTTTTTTTTTTTGATTTTCCATTTTGGTACTATGTTAGCGAACTAAAATAATTATTATAATGAAGCAAATCAAATTTTATATGATATATGTTTGTGTAATTATTACATTATTAAACATGAATAAAATTTGGTTAATAACAATATACACTTATTTAGAAAAACTTGAAATGTTATATTATTTACATTATTTGATTTCAATTTTAGTAAAAACTTGATTGTTATTTAAAAAATTTAATTATTATTTAAAAAATTAAATTAGTTTAATTTCGATAAATCCAAGATTACCGTTTTTAACATTACACGTGAATCGCAAGGCAAAAAAAAAAACTTTTTACAATAATTTGTGGCTTAATAGAAATAAACAGCCAATAAAAATGAATTTCCCCCGAAATAAAAAAATAAGATTATCTCTTCACTTTGTTTACTTAATTTACTTCCTATTTTTTTTTCTCTTTTAGATTTTAAAAATAAAAAACTGCTATATATATGACGATTTATTTGATTTCAAGGTTCCCATTCGCTTTTCGAAATAATCTTCAATTCAATTTCCCAATTCATTTTCGTACCGCGTGTTTTCGATCAGTGGCATATACGGTGCCGGTCATGTGAGTTGCACAAATCATGACCATTAATTTAAAACGCGATTTTTTTTTTACAAACCTTTATTTTTTCTCATTCAAAAAAAAAGCCAAAAGCCACAAATTAAATTCAACAATGTTTCAAAAGTTAATATATCTACCTCAAAGGCGAAAGCACAGTTAATGAAAGTTTTAAAACCAATGACTAAAAAGGCTCAAAAAGATGAAACAGTTGTCAAGTCTATTGTCGAGCCTGTTATAATAAAAACTACCACTACTACAAATAAATCAAATAAAAAAGCTTCGTCTCAAAAATCAGTTGAAGAGATATATCAGAAGAAATCTCAGCTTGAACACATCTTGTTGCGACCCGATACGTATATCGGTTCCACCGAGTCAATTACTGAAAAGATGTGGACTTATGACTCGGACTCGGATACCATGCAATTCGGGTGCTCATTTGATTTATATTATTTACATTCATTTGATTACATTCATTTGATTACATTCATTTGATTACATTCATTTGATTACATTCATTTTTACATTCATTTTACATTCGTTCGTAGGGAAGTGGATATTGTACCAGGACTATACAAAATCGTTGATGAAATTTTAGTAAACGCTGCAGATAATAAAGTGAATATCATTTATTATAATATTTGATCTACTTTCTTAGTTTACGCGAAATTTTTACATTACATATAAAACATGTGTTATTATAGATTCGAGACCCTTCTATGGACACACTAAAAGTGACAATTAATAAAGAACAAAACCTTATATCAATCTATAACAATGGAAAAGGAATTCCTGTCAAAATACATAAAGAAGAAGGAATTTATGTTCCAGAATTAATATTTGGTCACCTTCTTACTTCAAGTAATTATGATGACAATGAGAAGAAGGTTACAGGTGGTCGTAATGGTTACGGAGCAAAATTAACAAATATTTTTAGCAAAAAATTCATTGTGGAAACTGCTGACAAAAAATTGAAAAAAAAATATCAACAAGTATTTAGAAATAATATGAGTATTACTGAAGAACCGAAAATTCAAGAACATACCAAAAATGAAGAATATACTAAAATTACTTTTAAACCTGATTTGGATAAATTTAACCTTACGGAATTAACTGATGATACAATTGATTTATTAAAAAAACGGGTACACGATTTAGCTGGATGTGTTAAGGGAATAAAAGTTTATCTAAATAATGAACGTATTGAACTTAAGAATTTTAAAGATTACGTTATGAAATATGTAAAATCAAATAGTTCAGATCCGGATACATTACCGTTCGTACAACACGAGATAGTAAATGATCGATGGGAAGTTGCAGTTGCAGCAAGTCCTGATGGCCAATTTCATCAAGTAAGTGGTGATATTTTTCAAAAAAAAAAAAAATTTTTTTTAGCATATAATGCTATAGATATAATTGACATGTCAATGTATAATTATAAAAAAAATAAAAAATAAAAAAAAAAAAAAGGTTAGCTTTGTTAATGGTATCGCAACAATTAAAGGCGGTACACACGTCAATCACGTTTTAGAACAACTCGTTGGAAAAATTACTGAAACTGTTAAGAAAAAAAAAGAACTTAAAGATGCAAAATTTAAACCGAATATCGTGAAAAATCATTTATGGGTTTTTATCAATTGCTTGATTGAAAATCCGGCTTTTGATTCCCAAACCAAAGAAACTTTGACTCTGAGGCAAAATGAATTCGGGTCGAACTGTCAATTTAATGCTAGTTTTATTAATAAAGGTACATTCTACTTTTTTTTTTTTAAAAAAAAAATCATTAAATTCATTTGATATTTTTTTTTTAATCTTGACTTTATTATTATTGTTGTTGTTGTTATTATTATTGTTATTACTATTTTAGTGCTTAAATCTGAAATTGTTAAGGAAATCATTAATGAAGTCATATATAAGCAAGAGTCAGAATTCAAGAAATCTGATGGTTCAAAGAAATCGAAATCGAAGTATGAATATTTATTCCATATTTGAGTATAAATCTTTATTTTTGTAATTAATCTTTAATTACTCTTAATAGGGTTTCCGCAATTGAAAAGTTAAGTGATGCAAAGAATGCTGGAACGAAGAATTCGTCTCAATGTACTCTTATACTTACTGAGGGAGATTCTGCAAAGACTTTAGCTGTTGCAGGATTATCTGCTGTTGGAAGAGATAATTATGGTGTATTTCCACTTAAAGGAAAATTATTGAATGTACGAGATGCCAGTACCGCACAAATTTTAAAAAACGAAGAAATTCAAAATATCAAAAAAATTCTAGGTTTGCAACATGATAAAGTCTACACTTCTTTAGATGAACTACGATATGGACATCTTATGATTATGACAGATCAAGTAAACCAAATGAATTACTTTTATTATTATTATTATTATTATTATTATTATTATTATTTGAATGATGTTTTATTTCTAAATTCTTTTAAAAAATTTCAAATATTAGGATCATGACGGCAGTCACATCAAAGGATTAATAATTAACTTCTTGGATCGCTTTTATCCATCATTGATGAAAATACCCGGATTTCTTAAAGAATTTATTACTCCTATTGTTCGGGTATGACATATTATATGTTATAAATTATATATTAATTATATCAATTATTAATTATTAATCGAGAACATTTTTTTTATTACAGTGCACTAATATTAAAACAAAGAATAAAATAAGTTTCTTTACTTTACCTGAATATGAAAATTGGAAAAAAACCCACAGTGATGGAAAAGGCTGGGATATTAAATATTATAAAGTAAATATAATTTCCTTAATTTTGATTCTGAGTAAATTTATTTATTTATAAATTAACCAGAATTTTAAATTTTTTCTAGGGTTTGGGTACCAGTAGCCCTGCAGAAGCTAAAGAATATTTTGCGGCATTAGGTCAACATATGAAACCTTTTAAAACAGTTCAAAATGAAGAGCGTAATTTTATTGATTTGGCGTTTAGTAAAAAGAAAGTAGAGGAACGAAAAGACTGGTTAAAGAATTACAAAGTGTGTATTTGGCTTATTTGATATATATTTATTTTTAATATATATATATATATATATTTTATTTATATTATTAATGTTTAATTATTTTATTTTATTTTAATTTATCTTAAAGCCTGGAACTTATATTGATCATAATGTTAGTGAAATATCAATCGATAATTTTATCAACCGAGAACTTATATTATTTAGTATGGCTGATAATGTTCGATCTATTCCTTCTGTTCTTGATGGATTAAAACCTGGTCAACGAAAAGTTTTGTTCAGTTGTTTTAAGAGAGACCTTAAAAAAGAGATTAAGGTGATAATTTATTTTATATTTTGTATATATATTTTGAATTTAAAAATGAATTTTGTTTATAATTTAAATTTCTTTATAATAGGTTATTCAATTAGCGGGTTATGTCTCCGAACATACAGCTTACCATCACGGAGAAGCAAGTCTTCATTCTACCATAATTACTATGGCTAATAATTTTATTGGATCAAATAACATTAATCTTTTGGAACCAAGTGGTCAGTTCGGTTCGCGTATACAGGTAAATTCTAGTCAATAGAATAGAAATACTTTATTTGTCTTTTTTTTTTTTTTTTTATTAAAATGTATTCACTAATTATATTCTGTTTAATGTCTCTTTTCATAATTTATTAGGGTGGAAAAGATTCTGCGAGCGCTCGTTATATTAACACAAGGCTTAACACATTGACGCGATTAATATATTCTCCTCATGATGATGAATTGTTAAAATATTTGAACGATGATGGTGCTAGCATCGAACCTGAATGGTAAAAGTTTTGACAATATTTTTAATATTATTATTGATATTATATAATAATCATAATATAAAACTTCACGGTTATTAATTATTTTAGGTATTTACCAATTCTTCCTATGGTCTTGGTCAATGGTGCAGATGGTATCGGAACTGGTGAGTTGACAGAATTAAAAATCTTATTATTTCAGGATCAATTAATTAATTAATAACCTTTTCATTATATATAATGAATAATCACGTATAGGTTGGAGTACATCGATTCCCAATTTTAATCCTCGTGATATTGTTGCAAATCTAAAAAATTTAATGGACGGAAAAGAATTAGAACCGATGAGTCCCTGGTATCGTGGTTTTCAGGTATTTATTATTTTATTAAACTTTTAAAACAATAATTTCCTGCATAATAATTTAACTTGATTTAATATGCACTTTTTTTTTTGAACTTAGGGAGAAATTGAAAGAGTTAATGGTGATAAATATAAAGTTAGCGGTATAATTGAAAGAGATAATGAAAAAGATAATATAATCCATATTACAGAATTGCCAATTAAAGTCTGGACTCAAAATTATGAAAATGATCTCAAGAAATTAATGTCTGATGATAATAAAACCACCACTCGTATTAAAGCACGTCTTTAGTAATCACAATATTTCACTTGTTTTTTTATTTGATGTAAAAAAAAAAAAATTTAACATATTCATATTTTTACATTATTATTTATACAGGGATATTTCGATGAAAGCACTCTTTGGAGACCAAATTTCGAAGTTATATTAGATGATGAATTGGTCGATGAACCTCATGAAGATCTTGAAAAAAGGTTTAAGACTACTTCATATCTCAATACCTCAAATATGGTATGCTTTGATAAGGATGGTCGATTGAAAAAGTACGGATCACCCGAAGAAATACTTGAAGAATTTTATCATGTCAGATTAGAATATTATTTCAAGCGAAAAGTAAGTATAACTATAATTTTTTTTTTCTTTCATTCTTAATCTTACACTAATTGAATTTCTTTTTTTTTTTAAAAAAAAAAAAAATAGGAACATTTATTAAAGAAAATTGAACTTGAATGTAAAAAGTTGCAAAACAAAAACCGATTCATCAAAATGAAGATTAGCCGTGATCTTCAATTTGAAGGATTAAAAAGAATTGAAATTATAAATCTACTTGAATCCGAAGGTTTCGATAGAATTCGAGGTAAAGATGAAATCAGTGCAAATAGTACAAATGAAAATGAGAATACTAGTGGCTATGATTATCTTATGCGAACAACTGCTTGGAACTTTAGTGAAGAAGAGGTAATTTCTTTTAAATAATAAGCTTTTCACGTTGATTGATATCGTTAATATCATTTAAATTCATAAATATTATATATCTAAAAAAAAATATTTTTTTAATAGGCACAAAAACTTGACCGATTATTTAATGAAAAATCAAAAGAACTCTCAATACTACGTGATAAACGTCCAACGGAACTTTGGATTGAAGATTTAGATAAATTTTTAGAGGGGTGGAATGTAAATATTATGTCTAATTATTAAATCGAAATGGATTTTTTTACTACAAATCTAATATGCTATTTGTATTATTTGCATTTATTTTTATAGGTTGCAGAAACCGAATTCAAAAAAATAGTGAGCGGAGCTTCAAAAGAAGGGGATAGTAAAAGATCGGAGAGTAAAGCAAAGGCTAAATCAAAGTCGGTTAAAAGGTAGTTTTTTTATACACAAACCAAAGAAAAAAAAATGCAAATGGATTGTTCACCATTTTGTTCAAATGACATATTGATAAGACGAGCTGGTCTCTAAAAGATTATCTTAGAATTTTAAAATTTGAAATAAAAAAAAAAAAAAAAAAACTTAATTTAATTTGTAAATATTTCCCCAGGAATTTAAAAAGTCAGTATAATGCGTCATTACATTTCTAATTGTAACTGACATCACTTCACGTCATAGTTGTTATATTTTGTATAATGAAGAATTAGATTATCTTGAATATATATTTTTCATTTAAATGATAGACTCAATTTACTTTATATGATTGTGGAAATATTCGTGATTTCATGATCCGTGAATTGAATTGAAAAATGTAGCAATAAAGATTATAAATTAGAAATAATAACATCATATATGAAATGGAAAATAATACTTCATGAAATTTTTTTAGTTAATTCTTATTATAATAAATCATACGGAAATATAAAATGCCTCAAGTGCAGTTAAACTAAACTTATTATGCTATTATTACTGATTCATCTACTTCTAACACCACTTTCCTTCCATCTGGATCTACAAGATCAAGACCATTTTTCTTATAATTTTCTCCTGGCCATCTTTTAATTTTAAGTGAACTATTTATTGGTAAACCTTCAACAAGCTTATACCAATATTTTGAGGAAATCTCAGCTTTGTAAAATGTAATATATGTAGAGATAAAGCGAATAACAAATAAAACCTGATTAGAAACCTCATCAGTCTTACGTATATTTTCATATCCGGAAGCAAGTATTTCACCAGCAATTTGCATTCAAAGATATTGACTTGTCAAACAACAAAAAAAATCCATACTTCTGTAATAATCATAGATATTGTTCCTTTAGTTACCACAAATTCGGGAGTTGTCAAAACATAAGGCTCATTTAAAAAAATTTAGTTTATTTTGGTGGAAAGCTTCTAGATTTTGAAGAAAGAAAATTAGGAAGCCATAATAATAATAAGAATTATTTTCAAATTACTTACATTATCTTCAAAGGATGGTGATTCAGCATAACAACACGAAGCAAATAATCAACCATTGCGTCAGTACTAGATTCAGGTATTCCTGGTGGGTTTCTTGTGACGATAGCAAGTCTTTCAAAGAAGGTTTTAACAAGTGCATCCGAAAAATCACTAATATTTCTGGCATTGAATCCTGATTTATCAAGCATTTCTCTGTTTATTTTTGGGTAAACATATTAATCTGGAAATTTTTCAACTTTCTCATTAGGAATAACGTGGTCTTCAGATGCTGGCGAAATTTCACATTCAGTGTATTTATCTTTATTAAATTCAGATACTTTAATATTGCTTGAATAGTAATGTTGCGATTAAGCAGCCTTCTAACTATATTTCGTGAACCTGTAAAAAATTTAGTGAATATGAATGTAGACATGGAAATTGATTATCAAGTCAATCATGTGTAAAATAGTAACTCACTTTAAAAAATCGATCAACCATGTGCAAAGCAACTGTAAATTGTATTTTTATTATCACCTTCTTTCTTCCGCCGTGTAATGATGTAGAAAATTCGTTTATTATTGCATAATTGAAATGGAAAGAGTGAATTTCATGAAAATAGAAAAAATACCTAATGGGTTGTATGCATATATATGAGAAATTGGGTTGCACGAAAAAAACATGTTAATTCAGGTTTATTAACTTCAAAGTAACCATTACTAATCGACATCCATACATAGAAGGAGGAATATAGCATGTAACCATGCCTACCAGGGTCCTAGATCCCTTTACATAGTAAAAAATGACGGTTCCTTTTCCTACCTATCCATCTACCTGTTTCAACTCTAATCAGAAATAATTATCAATAATTTTATTTTTGGTGAAAGTTCCGAATATGTAATTAAGGTACCAATAACTATCCTTTTGTACAGATTTCCGAGAATCGCAACATAAACTTTTAGCGGGTTTTTGTAAGGTTAATATTATTAATTCATTTTGTTTCGTATAAGTATAACTGATATCATTTTAATTCCATTCATTCTATTCAGAATCGCTAACAAATGAAATCGAATTATAAATAACATTGAGATAATGTGTTAGTAGAAATAGTTTAGATAAACGAAAAATTATTGAGTATAGTATCAATAGATAGATTTGATTCTTTTTAATTTTTATTACAATCAATAAAGCAAAGGCGCGTTAAACAATTTTTCACACTTTTTTTTTATGTGAATATGACTGCAGTTTATGTAAACGTAAAAAATAAACCCAGAATTCGGGCAAATTATAACTTTATGACTCAAAGAAGGGTCTTATACATATCTTTCGATTAAAAAAAAATTTTTTTATTAAGAGTGTGACACCTGTGACACCTGACATATTAGTTAACCTGATAAAAAGGGTCAATTTGATTATCGTGTTTATCGTGTAGAGTTTATCCGAACTTGAAATGTCTAATCCACAGAATCCCCAACCTAAAAATTTATACTGTTATGGTTGTGAAAAGGAGAAGCCAATTCATTCCTTCTCTAAAACTCAAATCACCAAAGCGGTTTCTAATATTCATAATCGTCAGTAACAAACAACTTTATGATAATTTTATTACTGAATAAATAGAAATAATAGAAGTTGATTTTTTTTTTTGCATTTTATTTTAAAGCATATGCTCCCAGTGGTCGAACCACAAAACGACACCATACATTGTGTAAGCAATGTACACCCCAACAAAATAATAATTTGACTTGCATGATTTGTACAAAAACAATGCTCTTGGAGAAATTTGCAAAGGTAAATTTTGAGATATGAGGACTATAAATAATAATAACAAGCTTCCTAACAAGCTCGACTCTTTGCAGGCGCAAAGAAAAAACGCCGAAAAAGCCAGATGTTTAGGTATGTCGTTGTTGTTATTAATATTAATATTAAATAATAAAAAATAATGATACAAATGTCACGACTCATTTTTATTTATTATTAAAGATTGTATGAAAAAACGGAATGAAGAAGATCCATCTGATAGTGAAGACGGATATTCTGATGATTCATATGAAAAACGAGAAACATGGGATGATATCTTGTAAAATTATATGAGAAATTCTTTATTCAAGACAATTTTATTAGAAATCTCATTCTTATTCATGTAATTTGGATAAAGGAAAAGAATTAAAATAAAGTTAATATGTATTTGATGTATTGATTTATTTATTAAAATGTTTAGTGATTGATTTTTTGATTATTTTAATTATCTAACCCAATAAAATATGATTTTAAAAATAAAGAAATAGAAAGAAAATATATAATCTTGAAATAAGAAATACAATGGAAAGAAATAAAAAAATATATATATATATATATAAATAAGATTTATGGAATCTTTACGTTCAACCTTTCTTTGTTTGAAAATGAAAATCCCAAGTTTCCAACCATTGTCTATGTGAAATATCATCGGGTTCTAATCCTGGAGTGCCATATGTCATTGGAGCAAAGTATATAAACATTATTCCTGCTATACTTAATAATACAGTACAACATATTTTTGCTATATAATCAACCTTCGCTTTTAATACTATTTTACTTGTTGATTTATATGGTAAACCAACTGAAACAGGATAATTGATAGAACTTATAAACATAAATTGAAATACTGCAGCTGCTACTAAATAACTACAAATTAATCCGGGAAGATAATGATGAAGGAATAATGATCTACCCATTAAGAAAAATGGAACATAATGAAATAACCAAGCCATTGAAAAGAATCCTGCTGAATTATATAGTCGATTACGAACAGCTAAAAAATTTGTATGAAATAAAAATAAATGAATAAATATCTAAAATGAATAAAAATAAATAAAAAAAAATAAACAAAGTATTTATATAAAATTACTTACGATCAGGAATAGGTTGAACTCCACGTCGTCGTGATATAAGATCTGCAGCTACCACACCTACGAGAACTGCAATAGAGCCAATAGATATCCACCAGGTGAATGGATTACCTAGTAAATAAATTTGCTGTTTTTTATCACCTAATGTCCAGAATGATATACCGCGTACTAAAAACGGCCAGTTTATTGGTCCGGATGAATAGGGATGAGGTTTTGTCAACCCGGAGTTATGACTAATCATTAAACGTTGTAATTCAAAGAATTTCTTGTAAAAAGGTATATGTTTGAGAGGTTTTGGCTCCAAATTTTCAGTATCTAATCAATAAAACCAATATAACAATAATGTGAGATAAGAATATAATAAAATGTTTTTGGTATAAAAAATCAATACATATAATTACATAAATTATAAATTATGGGATTATTTACTAACCATTAAATTTACCAATTATTTCATTGGCATACCAATAATTGCTTTTTTCTTTATTATTTTTATTTCCGTTAATTTCTTGTTGCTTAAAACCCCATTCAGGTAAATTCTTTTTATGTGTCCAAAGTGCAACGTTAGTATCATAATGAATCAATCTGAAATGACTTGATTTTGTTTTCCAGACAGTATCCTCATCACCATCATTTATGAGAATTTGAAAAACAGTTTCGTTATAACGAGAAGTATCGTTGGCTGCTATTGTAGTAAATTCTTGGTTTGTCGGCATGGTGGGTGAAGCAACATCATGTGTGAGAAGAATAGTTTTGGTATTAATATGTTCAAGCAATATATGATCGCCGTGGTATATCGTGTCATTCTCTGGCCTTGATGTATCAAAGAACCCTTCCGCGGGTATTATACGCCAATGATTATTAATATCGTCAAAGGGATATCCTGTAACTTGCTGTCCTGTATGACATTATTTCATCATTTTAGATTTTTCAATCTACAAACCATATTTACAAATATATGAATTTACGAATCATCAAATAAAAAAATTATAATTATAATTACCTGCACTACTTATACGTCCATCATCATATCGAAGAGGATAACGAGCAAGATGAGAATGTAAAAATACTGATGTATCCTTATGTTTTATAGTAATAGTATCATTATATCTTATCTCTAAATAAAAATATTCGTTAACCCTCAAATTATTAAATTATTTAAATTATTTAAATTATTTAAATTATTTAAATTATTTAAATTATTTAAATTATTTAAATTATTGAAAATTTTATATGAATAAATCCAATTGAATTTACCATAGCTTTGAAGACTCATTACATTGCCTTCTAACGTTTCTTGAAATGCTGGGCTCATAAATCCGTCACCGGCACCACTTTTGCTTAATACAAGAAAATGGATGTAAAACCAAAATAAATATATAGAAAGTGGTACGACTATCAAACCTAGAGCACGTACGAAAAAATGTTTTTTAAATTGGGTCTAAAATATATAAAAAGTAATTAGTTAATCGTTCCATTTCCACGTGATAATATCTATAAATAGATATCACGCTATCGAAATTTACCATTGATAACCCACGATTAATATCCAATAAATTCCATAAATCATTAAGAACTGCATATCCGATGGTGGCGACTGTAAACAAGCCAACCATTTTTACGCTAAAATACAAATCAAAAAAAAAATGTTAAAACATATATATATATAAATATATTCCAAAATTATAATTGAAACCAAAACTACCAATGAATTACCTTAAAGTTAAACCAAGCGAAACTCCACAAGCAACCAACCAAATGTACCACTCATTAGAAAATTCCCTGAAATATCAGACATAGAAAGAATAAACGAAAGCCAAAAACATCGCGTGTTCAATTAATAAATTAATATTAAATATAATTTACCTTAAACGTAGCTTATAAAATCGAATATAACAATAGAAAGTACAGAGCATAAAGAAAACAAGCATCGAATCAAGAAGAATTAAACGCGTTTGACATATTAGGGCATTATCTGATATGATAAAAATTATATTGTTTCAATAAAATATTAATAAAATATTAAAAAATATAATAAATAAATATAAATATGTGAAACCATTTTGCTTACCAAAAAGTACTAATCCAGCGGCGAATAGTGAAGTAACTATCGGATACCCGGATTCTTTCATGATCATATAAGTCAAAGGAACGAAAAGCGCCCCTAGTGTGGCAGGTAACGCTCGGAATCCCACGTAAGGAACATCATTCGTTATATAATCATCTCCAATATTATCAAATTCGAAATGGCCATCGTAACCCAGAAGCCATCCCATACCCGCTAACATCAATTTAGCAAGAGGTGGATGAACATCAAAATAATATTCTCTTCTAAGATAAAAACTCGCGAATTTTCCAAAATGAACTTCATCGAAACTATATTAATAAAAATTTTTCTCAATTACTACACCGATAAAAAAAAAAATAATAGAGTTGTAATGCAAGATCAATGCAACTTACACAACTTGATCCGGATGATTGATCATCCAAAAGCGAGTCACAAATGCTGAAAAAGTGAGCACCGCTAAAACTATCAAAGAGAGAGTATCATCTTTTTTGTCCGAAAATTGAACTATGAATTCCTATAAAAACATTTTAAAGATTGAATTTCTGAAATTATATCTCTCGGACTATTTGATAACTAGAATACAAAATACCTTCTTTTTATCGTCAAAATCATATTCCTGTTTTTTTCCGGAAAGGGAACCAGATTGCTTCTCTTGTCTGTTGCGAAATGTCATATATTTTAATGTTTTATATTCGAGGAAAGAAAGGTTATTAAAAATGAAAAAATTTTATTGATGCTTATATAGATATTTTGGTTTGTACGCATTAACTGGTCGTGTTGCTAGATAATTGGAGTTCTGCTGCAGTACTTGTCAGTCCAAGAAGGCAAAATTCCACGTGAAATCATTGAAATTAATTGTGCTACGGAAAAGCAGATAATTATTACATAAAAACAAAACATCTGCATATAGCATTTAATAACTTTTTCTTATTCTTTTCTTGATTAAAACAAATGCCGGAACAAAGAACATTTCGTAACAGACAAGAGAAACAATCTAGTTCTCAAGCTGGAAAACAACAGGAACATGATTTTGACGATAAAAAGAAGGTATTTTGTATGCCAGTTATAAAATAGTCCGAGAAATGCAAATTCTGAAATCAATCATTAAAACGTTTTTATAGGAATTCAAAGCTGCTGCTACAGAGGTATTCAATGATCGACTTCTTCTATCAACGCGTTATATATAAGTTTAGAAATTAATGATTTATAATTATTTTTATTTCAAAAGGAAACAAGTGGCGGAATTTCTTTAGAAGATTTGGGTGAGCAATTATAAAAAAATTCGCTTTGCATAATTTTAACAGTCTTCGATTTCTTTATATTATTTTGCTAATTTTTGATATTATTATTTCTATAGGTGATGATCCGATGAATTATGAATTATCGGAATCATCAAAAAAAGCACGCGAAGAACATCAAGCAATATTAGATGAATTTGAGCGTAAAAAACGCGCTAGAACTCTAGCTGTCCCAACTGATGATGGTCGCGTAAGAGCAAAGCTTAGAGAGCTTGATGAACCACAATGCTTATTTGGCGAAGGAGTATGTATTTTTTATTATTGCATTTTTTTTTTTTTTTTTTAGGAAATTTTCAAGATTTAACAAAATATCAAATATATAGCCTGGGGATCGTCGAGATCGTTTACGATATTTATTATCAAAAATGGAAGGTGCTGAATCTGTTCATGATGAAGAGGAAGAAACTGAAAGCGAATCCGAAGAAGAGGTAACTTTATATAATAATAGTTTGATTTTTTGTAGCATGACCCTATATTGACAAAATAGTAGACTTAGTTCTTATTTATATAATTAGAAAGAGGAAGAATTTTTCACTCAAGGAACTCAGAAGCTTTTAGATTCACGTCGTTGGATGGCTAGATATTCTTTACCTAGGTGAGACAATAATACTTTTATTGTATTCCATCAAAATTCAATAATTTCAATTATCTGAAAGATTTTTCTTTGGATTGTCTATTAAGGGCAAGAGATCGACTTAATAGACAAAGGAAAGAATACGAATTACCATTACCACAATTAAAATCCTTTAGGAAGGAATTGTTTTCAGGGTTGAAGGTAGTTATAATATTTTCATAGTAGTAAATATTTAAAAGGATTCATTTGATAATTTCAAATATTTTCAGTCTTATGCAAATTTTAGTTCCCAAATTGGAGATGATCGACCAATATCACAATGTGTTTTTTCACCAGATCGTAGCAAAATTGTCACTGGTTCATGGTCTGGATTAATTCGGATATGGGGAGTGCCGAATTGTGAAGCATTATCGTTACTAAAAGGTTAATATACGAATCAGAGGTTTTTTTTTTCTGTGTACTTTTTAATTATGCTCATAATTATAATAGAATTATCAAATTATAGGACATACTGATCGTATCGGTGGAGTCGCTTGGCATCCAGATTCCACTCTCTCTATTGATAAGAGTGTGGTGAATTTAGCATCAGGAGCTGCAGACTCTATGATTCATCTTTGGTCTTTAGATAATGATGCTCCTATAGCAACACTAAGAGGTCATACATCTAAAATTGCAAAAATTGATTTTCATCCTTCAGGAAAATTTATTGGATCTGCAAGGTATTTTTTTTAATTAGGTGCTGATCGATTTTCATTATTTTATTAATTAATTTTATTTTTAATTTTTATATAGTTATGATTATTCTTGGCGTTTGTGGGATGTTGAAACGACCGAAGAAGTTCTTCTACAAGAAGGACATTCTAGAGAAGTATACGCCATCCGTTTTCAGAATGATGGTTCATTGGTAGCCACGGGGTATTTATTATGATTCTATTCCTTAAATCATATTATTTTTTTTTACATATCTAATAAAATAATTAATTTATAAAAATAGAGGTTTGGATGCTATTGGACGTGTATGGGATTTAAGGACAGGTCGTTCTGCTATGGTATTAGAAGGACATGTAAAAGACATTCTCGCTGTTGATTTTTCGCCAAATGGGTAATTTTCGTAGTACATATTTAACTAGAATTGACATAAAATTCAATCTCATTATTCAAATTATTTAAATACATTTTTAGGTATCAAGTAGCCACGGGAAGTGCGGATAATTCAATACGGATTTGGGATATTCGAACCTTACGATGTTGTTACACGATTGCTGCGCATAAATCGCTCGTTTCAGATATAAAGTTTTTCCATGGATCTTCGTCTTTAATCGATGAGGAAATGGATAACGGTTTTAAACATACAATATCAGGATTATATCTTGTCAGTAGCGGTTATGATGGATTTGTCAACATCTGGTCTTGTGATGATTGGAATTTACTTAAAAAATTGGCGGGACATGATGGAAAAGTTATGTCAGTTGATATTTCTTCAGGCATGTATTTTTATGAAATTTATGGGCAATAATAAAAATATTCCTAATATATATATATATCTATATATTATATATTAATTCTAATTAAATATTCTTTTTTTTTATAGATAATAAATTTATTGCTTCTTCTGGTTTTGATCGAACGTTCAAATTATGGGCAAATGAAAATGTGCCAGTTTGAGGGAATGAATTTTTTTGAAGTTTTCTTGGTTATTTATATTACATAAATAAATCAAAAAAATTGTATAAATTGTATCTATATTATCTTTCTAAATAATAAAAATGGTTGATATCTTTACAATGACACGAAAAATTTATTTCTAATAATAATAAATGGTTGATATTGTTGCGATGACGCGAAGAATTTATTTCTATTGAACTTAAATCATTCATCTCTGGGAACAGGCATTCCGCAAGGCTGTAACATTTTCTTTTTTTTATATTAATTAAATATATTAATACAAAATTTTTGAAATTTAAGACATTTCCTTATAAAACTTAAAAAAAAACTTACTTCTACGAACTCAAATTTAACTCTAGCGATACTTTCATTTTGCGCGACCGAGAAATAAGAAATTAGAGCATGGTGACCAATATATGAAGCATAACTGTCACGATGTTGATTTACCATCCATTCACTATTATAGATAATTAATCAGAAACGAACTCCTTACATAATAAAAAAGATTAAAAGATATTAGTATACTCACAACTTATTTGTATCTGCGTGACCTGTCCCAACATACTTTGATTGTACTGAAAAATTATAAATTATTCAGTAAAAGGTTACTTTTAAAAAGTTTAAAATTTAAAAATAGAGGAACTTACAATGTTCGAGCTGACTATTAAGATTGAAACGATCCTGTAAAAGGCATAATTTTTTAGTTTCGGTTCACATACAAGAAAAAAAAAAAGGAAAGAGAAAAAAAAAATTACCATCTGACAATTACATTTTCAACAAACAAATGAACACAATTTTATAGTTTTTTTAGAACGTGATACGTATTGCATATGCATCATGTAACACTGGTATACACATCAACTTTCGTTCCGATTCAATTTCTAAAATTCCGTCAAAATGGATAATGATAATGATCACGCTAATTTAATCAACGATTTTATAGCTGTAGCCTCTTGTGATGAACTGCAGGCTAAATTTTATCTGGAAGCTAATAACTGGAATTTAAATGTATTACCCATTTCATTTTTTTTTCTTTTGGGAACTCGGCAATTCACTTATCATTAATAAAATATCTTTTTTTTAGGAGGCATTAAGTAATTTTATTGAACAACAAGAGACTGGAGAACAGGAAACTGTAGCTTCAAGCTCAAGCGGACCAAATTATGGAACTGATTCTTTTGTTCCTCCGGTCACTGTCCCTGGTTCGTCCGAGAATAAAAGGCAAATACTATTTTACCATAATGTATTTTTTCAATCTCTCTATATATTTCTACTACTGTAGTGGAAGAAGATAAAACATTAAACGTGTTTTAAATCACAATAGTTCGGCTCCTAGCTCTCGTTTTGCAACTCTACGTGATCTAGACGAGGAAGCTTCTGAGGAAGAGGATGACGAAGAGCGCGAGAACTTCTTTGCTGGAGGAGAAAAATCGTACGTGTTAATATCACAAACGTTAAATCTTTGACAAAATTTTCTAAATTTAGAATACTTGTAGTGCGGTTTTTACACAAAATCCAAACGTAAAATCATCCACAAATTCATTAGTTACCGATATTCTGAAAAAAGCTGCCGAGTAAGTTTTTTTTTTTATATATATTACGATGATTAAAAGAAAATAAGTGGCAAGAAATAGAAATAATCGACATTGGCTTTCATACTTATATCGTATTCCTTAAATATCAGAGGTGGGCGTCATGTCGAAGAACCTGAGGCTATCACTGCAGCTCCACGTTCATTTTTCACTGGCGCTGGTAAAATATATATATATATACATATATATATATTTTTTAAAATATTTCATGATAATAATAATATTAAACATAAAAATTTTTGATGAATTGCAGGATATAAACTAGGTAGCGAAGAAGAACCTTCGATTAAAATTGAGAATGAGGGTTCTTCAACCTCATCAACCGAACCTCAAACAACGGTATGAACAATATGATATTATGTTTTGGTAATTTCCTTTTCGAAAAATTATTAATCACAAATATATCTTTCTTTATTTTTATTTTTATTTTTAGGTTGTTCGACATTTAACATTTTGGAGAAATGGATTTAGCATTGAGGATGGTCCTCTAATGGCTTATAATGATCCCGCAAATGAAGAATTTTTGAGAGCTATTAATAGCGGGTATGAAAATTATTAATCTTTGTAATGAAAAAAAAATGAATGAAAATAACATATACGACTTTTTTTTATAGTCGGGCACCTTTGGCCTTATTGAACGTGAAGCAAGATCGACCTGTAGATGTTCGCGTTACTAGAAGATTAGATGAAGACTATAAGCCTTCACCAAAGAAACCTTCCCAACCATTTTCAGGTTCAGGTAAAAGGCTTGGAAGGTTTGTTTAGTTCAACGTTATTTTTAAATTTTTTGTTTGTTATCACAGTAAGAGAGTATATTAATTTTTGTTTTGATCTTTCTTAGCCCAACTCCTGCAGTAATTTCAAACACGCCTGGCGCATATCCTTCAACCTCTTCGACCTCAAGTGCAGCTAGCGCATCAACACTGAGACCATATGAATTCGAAGTTGATGAATCATTGCCAGTAACATCAATTCAAGTTCGATTGGGGGATGGAACAAGGTAAAAATAGTTTATCTTTTTATCTTTAAGTTTCTTTCAAATATCCAATTTGCTAATAAAATAATATTTTATATATTAATATCAATTAGAATGCTTGCTAGGTTTAATCATACACACACAGTCAGGGATATTCGTAATTTTATTAATGCGTATGTTGTTAAATTATTTTAATTTTTAATTTTTAATTATTAATTGGTTCCAGCATAATATTAATATTTTGATATTTGTGAATCTAGTTCGAGAGTTGGTGAAGCATCGCGTAACTACGTTTTACAAACAACATTCCCTTCAAAAGAACTCAGTGATGAATCGTTAACCATCTTTGAAGCATCTCTTTTAAATGCTGTTGTTGTACAAAGATATACATAAAACTGGTTTAATAAAAAGTTGATTAGTGTAAGAATATTTATATATTAGAAAATTTTTGAGGTGAATGAAAAAAAAACCAGTGAAATTTTCCGATATCTACCATTTTGGCTAGCTATTTATTGATATAACTATCACCAAACCTCTTGTTGGTATCTTCCGGTTCTTCCAATTAAAGTCATATATTTTTCAGCCTCTTCCTCAGTCATTGCTCCCTCAGAAATAAATATTGATTTAAAAGCATTCATAACATCTATAGGCATCTTATCTGCTCGTCTTTTTTTTTTTTTTTTAAAAAAAAAAAAGTGAGAGTTAGTAAAATAATAAATAATTTTGAATTTTTCAGTAAAAAATAAATTATATTTACCCAGAAACATATACAAATCCATTTCTTTCATGTACGATCTCCCATACCAATTGAGCATTTTCTTTAAGAATATCTTGGACATATATTTTTCTGTCCTGAATTAAACTTTTAAGTTAAATTCTCAAAACTAATCAAAAAACAAATGAATATTTTTCTTATAATAAATTTTAAAAATTTACTTGATCTCTAGAGAATGCCACAAATACTTTTAACTGACCATCTTTGACGTATTGTTCCCATTCTTCTTTATAATAATAATCTTTATCTTGTTTCCTACACCCGAAAAATAAATAATTATCTGATAAATTGAAATATATTAATTATATGATATTAAAATATTTAATAATATGTAACAAAATATATTAGTTAAAATATTAGAAACCTGTCGCGCCCTCTGATACGCGTTCTTGCAAAAAAGCTCGCATAACCGAAATTCCAGTTCCTTTATATAAATAAATAAATTAAAACTTTAAAAAATAAAAAGAGGATATTGAGAATGATAATAAAAAAATTAAGTAAATATTCCTACCTGGTCCAATAAGAATAATTGGAGTGGAAATTGAAGTAGGTAATTTCATTGTTCCGCGTGTAATTTGAACTGGAATGGTGCAACATTCTTTTATCAAAAATGAAAATATCAAATATAAAATAAAAAACGATTTAATATTATAGAATGAAATAAAATACTCTTAAAATTTTACAAAACATATTAAAAATCTTGACAGACCTGGCTCCAAACCTGACAACCATTTTGTGCAAACACCTGTCCTCGGTTTAACCAATCTAGTCTTATAATTAACTATAGCAACTGTCAAATGAATTTTTCCCGGATGAACTTTCATAGAGGAGGAAATTGAAAATTGTCGTGGTTGTAATTTTGGAAACATATCAAGAATATATTCCAAAGGTATTTTAGCAGATGAGAAGTCTTGAAGTACTTCAATTATTGTGCGTCGTACGCGTTGATTATACGCGTATAAATCATCCTATAATTTGATAGAGAAAGAAAGAAGAAATAAGTTCAATGGATATTTCAAATATAAAATTATTAAGGATATAAACACATACTTGACCTTCCGCAGAACAAAATTCTCTCAACTTTTCTGTATGATCCTCGTCTGTCGTAAAAAAAGACAAGAACTCGAAGAACGATCTACGAGGAGTACTGGAAATATCCAGATAATTTTCAACCAGTTTTCTCAAAGTTAAAATTGAATCCAAACCAGGAGGTACCTCACGATCTAGTTAAATAATAATCAACATCATTATCATTAAATTTTATGTTATTATTTAGATTCAAATAATATCTTTTAATGACTAACCTTTTTCATCATTTGGTAAGAGAATAAAAGTATCATCTGCTGTATCAGACAAATTTAGCAACTCGAGAAACTCATCTACTTCTTCAGATAAATTCTTTGGAAAAAGGATTGCAACATCACCAGGATTAAAGCTAGAAATATATTATCGTTAGAATTAGCATCATATTTTGTAAAGACATCACAATCCTATTCATATTCAAAAGAAAAAAAAGAAAAACTTTACTTTGCATCAGATTCATTAAAATCAGAGATATCTAATTCGATATGACGCACGTCTTGAAAATGGTCATATGCAGTTATACGTGTATTTTTAACTAAATGCGCAATTAGATGATCACTTTTAATCGGTTTAACTTTATCCGAGTCAAGATTATGATCAATAAATTGAATTCGATAACTAGCTGGTGTAATAAAAATGTAATATGTCAAGGGTTAAGGATAATTAGTTGAAAATATAGTGTAAACTTTCTTGACATATTTTTCTGTAAATTGAAGGATATAATAAAACGTCATCAGGAATTACTTCAGTATTTGGTAGCAATGGATATTTTTCCATTAATATTTTCCAAAGTTCTTCAAGCCATGGATCAAGTGTACCATCTACACTAATATTATATTTTTAGGGATGATATTTTATACAACAAAAAAAATAAATGATTTATGCAAAAGGAAAATATCAAAAATTTTTATTAATAATTTATTTAATGACTTTAATTCGTATATTAATAAAAACAGGTAACCAACTAACCCAAGATAATGTTGATCATCTCCTTCTCCACGAGGAAGCAAACTCTGTGCACCTAACTGAATAAGACGTTTAAAAAGTTTTTTGGCAGGCCAATTATACCTTGAATTGCAAATATTTAAAGATTTGAGTTATAGAACATAATTTCGGTGTATTTGTTCTTGTCTATTTATTATATCCAGAAACTTACCTTACATATGAAGAATCCCCAAGACCAAATACTGCAAACTTCAATTGATTCAAAATGTCATTTGGAAGGTTTTTTCTCAATAAAAATTTCCAGAATTTCTGAATAATACACATTTACACATTTTTTTAATACACATATTCGGGAAAATAAAATTATAAATTTTATTAAAGGACATACTCGCATGTTATCTGGTTCATCACCTTGTCCAGTTGTTGAACAAATAAAAATTACAAGTTCTTCATTTATAAGATTGGTCTGAACATAGATAAACAATTTAATTAATAACTTTATTAAATTTTTAATCATATTCTAATGAAAATGGTTTATGATCGTTTTTATTACCCTATCATAAGAGTCCATTGAAAAAAGCCTAGTTTTAAAAAGGCGTCGCCTTGCCTGTCTTTCAATCCTTTCAGCAATATCTTGAGCATATCCCGTCTGGCTTCCATAAAGAACGAGCAATTGTCGATTGTTCAAATTGTTTGATTTTTGCATTTTATGATCAAAGTGACAGAATTTCTCCAGATAATCAAATATAAACTCGTGAACTATGATTGGACAAAAAATTCCAACGAGAAATTCTTTAACAGTATTGATAAAGAATATGTAATCACAAAATTCCCGAGTGCTCCATTTATTGTTTAATAAAAAAAAGAAATCAGCATATTTTATATAATATGGTGTTGAGTCACAATGGGTATTGTACGAATTAAAAGGAAAACGAATGAAAACACGATCTCAAGATTTCATAATACAATAAAAAATAAAAATAAAGATCCCTGCAGGGATCGAACCTGCTGAAATGAAATTTCAAACCGTTTGGTTTTGGACATGTAAAACATGCACTCCTTGGGAGATAGCTCCCCATTTGTGACAGAGGAAGCTCACTAATGCTGGTTTTAACGTGGTAAATGTTGAGATCTTATACTTGTTTTCAGGTTTTATAATCAAAACTTACAAGATTACATATATTTAATTAAAAAAAATGAAATAATATGGTTCTTCCAAGAATCATACAGACGTATAAAGAAAAGTCATAAGTTTTATTTTAAAGATTTATTTTTTTTTTTGATTTCGGTTATTATTTCACAATTGTAGGAGTCATTATGGTGACGACCTTTGATATTATTTATTAAAGAATTTTTATTTGAATTGGTACAAAAAAAATTTAGAAGGAATATTTGAAATATGAAAAATATTAAACGCGAAAGAATTGTAACGTGATTTCACCCTCATGATATTTCTTGCTTTACCAGATTTAGGATCGGAACACTGCTATCCGTGAAAGTTTCCGATATGAGTTTTTTTTTAAAAAAAAAAAAATTAAAAAAGCTTATACCCTTTCCGTAATAATACACTCACTCTTCTCACTAGTTCGTGAGGATGCCTGCGAAGGTCGAAATCGGTTTCTCGGCATTCACGAGTATGAGATATGAGGTGAGTTTTTTTATTTTATTTTTTTTTAAAATAATAAAAAACATATACTTACTTTGTCCCTTGCCTTAATAATACACTACCTTTCTCCTCCTCTGGGGACACGTGGAGAATTTTAGAAAATAATTGCAAGTTCGATGGTTAATCGACACATTTAGATCACTTAATTAATAATCACTCCCCGATAGTAAATTTGATTTAACTTCCATGTGACGAATAATCGTCGAAATTGTACTTTGACATAATTATCATAATTATAGAATAATTATAACTTACGGAATAATTGTGGACTTGTGGATAATTGAGAATTGCGGATTTTTAACCATTGAATCCTTAATAATTGCAATACAGGTAATATTATCATAATCTGCAATTCATAATTACATCTTTAGTCATTTTGGCAAAATAGTTTTAACTGTTTCATTTTGCCAGCTGGCAAAACTTAGAGGTTTCAACAAGCATCCTTAGCGCTTGGTATAAAAATTCATGAAAGGAGAAAAGCATCAATGATTGGTCTGCCATTATTCTATAGTTTCATTTCTGAAAGTTTTTTTTTTAAAACTATGTGCCAGACCAGTGATCACAATAGTAGCAAGATTTGCTGGTATTTATTTTCAGGAAGTAATTCACAATTACTATTTTCGTAATCAAGAATTAGAAACTTAAAATATAACATGATAGTGGAATTTCGGAACATTACAATTTAATAATAATGTAGCTACCGATTGTAATGCTGCTGCCTATCAAATAATAATCCCAGTATCAGAAGTCTTATATGATCTTCCAGCTGGTGCTGCTGAATATGTTACAAAAATTCCTAATACAGCTACAGTTACACATGTTGAATAAAACAATATTTACAACTGCTTAATACTAATAAGTATGAACATATATATGATCCTGCAAATATCTTTGTTAGAGTCATAAATAAATTTACAGGTAATGTATAACTGGGATATTCGATTTAAAATCATAGTTATATAAAATATTTTAAATAATTCGAATATTTAAGATTTTTATTATCGGTTAACACTCATCTCTCATAATTTATCAAACTACCTTTTAACATTTCCCTATTAGAAATTAGAAATTCCCATCACTATGGTAGTTTAAAAGAAAAACCAATACAATTACTAAAACCATTAACATTGCGAACATTAATAATATGTATTTGTTTGATATTTTCCCATCAATACGAAATCGAATAAAATTATCATCATTATTATAATTTTCTAAAGTCTTACTTAGAATATCGTGACAAATATTTAATTTATCTGTTAAAATTATTGTATATTTTGAATTATTCGCTTCTTCGGTTGCCCTCCTGGTATAATTGTTGGTTTTGGACGGGACCACGAAAACACCTATTGTTTCTCCTGGATAACGAGACATAACTCCCTCAAATTGACGTATATCATCAACCGTAACCTTATTCTTCTCAGCATAATTCTTACATTGAAATAATAAGAGATTTCCTGCATAATTCCCCATAAGATCCTTTCCTCCATCACCATTTGCCAATCTAATAATAATTGTAAAAGATTGTAAGTAATACGTCATAGTTATTAAGATAAATGAACCGGACTTAAACACGGTCAAAACATTATACACATATCCTATTCACCACAACTCCGGACTTTAACACGGTAAACTTTCAGATAAATAAAACAGAGAAGGACGTTCACAGTAGGTTGGTTACTTGATTGGTAACTTTCGCAAACTGTGGCCACGGTGTGCTTCCAGTTCTCTGTCTTATTATCCTAGTGGCAGCGTAACTTCAGATATGTATAACTCAGTATTACTTAGTGAAATAACTCACTTTATTTGATAGCTCTCAATATTCATGTTTCTTAATATTCTTTGAATTTCAAGTTCGAAGTCATTTCCTTTACTAACAGAACTCATGATTAATTATGATATAGTAGAATTACACTGTGAAATTTTTTTGTTAGGTACATCTGTTCCTGATTTTTCATTGGCTAATTGCTACACTCAAAACTCAATATCAAGCACGGTCAAAAAATACATGTACGACTTACTTGATTAGAATATAATCGACATCTTCAAGTCCAGTACACTTGATGAATCAATATCTCAATTTATCCATATTATAAAGATTTGTTTTATTTATGTTACACCTGTCCCTGATTTTTCATTGGCTAATTTCTACATTCAAAGCTTCAACGGTTAAAGAATACTTGTACGACTTACTTGTTTAGAATATAATCGGAATCATCACGTCCAGTACACTCGTATAAGTCAATATTTCAATTTGTCCAAATTATAAAGATTTGTTTTTTTTTAAAAAATGAAATATTTTTTCGTTACCCTTTTTTCTCAAATTCGAAAAATGAGAAGGAACAATCTCTACATGTACATTTCAATAGCTTCGCGCAAAAAAAAAAGATACCTGGTCACTAACCATGAATATAGTGAATTATCAGGCTTTGAATACCTATATCAATTATTTAAATCTAGTTACACATTTGATATATAAAAATGCATCTTTTTATTATTTCCACTTTTGTAAACGTGCGGATTTGCTATTGAGTTTATTATTTCCAGCAATTGGTAAAAATCGATATGAATTTTTTTGTATCGTCTAACAATATTGGAAACTGTTCTATTTTTTGATGAACTTTTATCTATTTTTAAACCCATCTTTTTTGCTTTTTCATGAGAGATAATTGAACATTCTGATCCTGAATCAATAATTGTACTGTTATTATTCACAGCCATTGTTTTCGGTCGTTTTGCATCAGCCAATATTTCCGCAATTTCTTGGATTGATTTCGATATTGTTATTATTTTCGGCCATTGAAATTTAAAAATTATTTTTTTATACGTGTTAGAGACACTAGTTTCGCTATTAATATATTGTAAAAAATCCAGAATTAAATATATTTGATATTAGGAATGAACTACTTCGAATCTCTTCTCAAAGATGGGATAAAACTCGCCTAGAAAGTTCCTGTGAAGTAGGTACTTGCTCTAGAATTTTTCATAAATACTTTCGTTATTTTGCTCACCCAGAAAATATGAATTAATTATCCCTCCTTTATAGTTATACCCCGTTCTAAGTAAATATCAATATTCTTTCATTATTATATCAATTATTTCTTCCAGATCCGCCATTAATTTTCGAAATAATTGTTTATCTTCATCAGCAATCGGAAGTCAAATTTCTTTTGAACTAAATCTTATATACTTGAAAATCTGTTCACGTAGTTCGTAAGATATTTTTGGTTTATGTGTCGAAATATTAGCTCCACTGTTGATATAAACATTCCTCAATATAGAGTATCTTAATTTTTAGTGGTATCATGGCTTTTTGAAATGATGTTCTTATTGTAGCTATTATCAGATCTTCTCCAAATTTAAAACATTTCGATATTTCTCATAATGATATTAGTGATAGATTGTTAAGGCAGAAGCTCGTGCATATCATAAATTGAAATATTTTAATCTTGATGGATGTTCATTAATTACAGAACCATCAATCCGCGGTGTTGTTCGCTCTTGTCATAAACTCCAGCATCTCAAATCGATTTTTGTAAAATTTCTGATGCAACTGTCGAAGAAATTACCCTAATTTAAAATACCTTGATTTGACAGCTGTAAAAATATTAGTAAAAAAAACTATTAACCCAAGTATTCATACCAAGAATTTTGATGAATAATACTATGAACGGTCTAATTCATGGCATAATGAGTCATTCTGAAACAGAATCTGAATCCAGTGATTCTGAAAATGAGTCTTTCAATCCTGAACCGGAAAATCATTCCAATTATAAAAGGAACATTATCAGGCGGTGAAATCGAATTTATTACTGTATTCAGGACCATTGGAGGTAACTCTTCGAGTTATAATTATTTCAGAGAATTACTCCCAGTATTCGAAGGGTGTGATAAATACACTACCCCACGTGGGAGTGTAAATTTCTATGGTTAACCAGCCAATGATCGACGTTCATGGTTAAATTAGAAATTCAGTGAACATAATTAGAACTTACGTAATTAGACATACAACTTATTCTTTTCTATTTTTCTATTTTTCTATTTTTATATCGAAATCAAGATGAGTAATTTGGAAAAAAGTTTATTTCAACTAAAAGTAAATAATGATTCATTCAATGAACATCTTAAGCTAAAAATGTTACTGACTGCTTTAGAATTTACTAGTTCACGGCGAAACAATTAGCTCGCCAGGCCAAAAAAGCGAGCAAAGATGAAACTGCCGAGAAAACAAAACTAAAAAAGGTTTTATAAATCATGAAATTTTTTACCTAAAATTATGATGTACCCCTATATTAATACTTTATTTTCTTTTTTTTTAGGCTATAAAACAAGGGAATATGGAAGGGGCACGGATTTATGCTGCTAATGCAATCCGAAAAAAGAACGAATCATTAAACTTGTTAAGATTATCTTCAAGAATTGATGCAGTTTCAAGTCGCGTACAAACAGCCGTAACTATGCAAAAGGTATTTATTCTTTTAATTGATTGATTGATTATTTATTGTTTTATATACTGAAATTCATACTGAAAATAAGAAATATTATTAGGTGACTGGATCAATGGCAAGTGTTGTAAAGGGAATGGATAAAGCTATGGAATCTATGAATTTAGAAAAGGCACGTTTTTTAACATTTTCATTTAAAAATTAATAATAAGAAAATAATTTGAGGGAAATCAAACTTTAAACTTTCTAGTAAATAAATAGATTTCTATGGTGATGGATAAATTTGAATCGCAATTTGAAGATCTCGATGTTCAAACACAATATATGGAAGGAGCAATGGGAAACACTACAACAATGAGTACACCTCAAGAAGAAGTAGATTTACTCATGCAACAAGTAGCAGATGAAAGTGGATTAGAATTGAATCATGAGCTTGAAACGGCAGCTCCGAGTAGCGTTATCAGTGTTGCAGATAAAGAAAGTAATGAAGATCAGCAATTGTCGGAACGGTTACGTATGTATTTTAGAAATCCCATGTTAATTTTATGTTAATTTTATGTTAATTTGATATTAATTCAAAAGGAATTTAAAGGGGTGAAAACACTTACAATCCTTTACTTTTTTTTTATATATTAGGAATGTTGAGACAAACTTAAAAAGATTTTTAGATTATGAAAAATTTTAGGATTTTATTTTCCATCTTTTTTTTTTTTGTAATTACATCTAAACTAGTTGTAATAAATACAGACAGTTGTAATGTTTTCCCTTTAGAAATCAATTTGTTATGTATTTATTGGCTTGTAAATTATTTATTATTTATAACTTTATAATTAAGCCATATTTGGATTTCCATAGAAGTTTCCCCCGTTTTCTCTTCTCTTTAAGAATCGTCTTCATTTGTAAAATAATTGTAATAATATTAAACTAAGATAGGGTGATATATTTTAATATTTTTAAAAAAAAAAAAATTTTTTTTTTTTTGTCATATTTAATATTTTTGAATATTTTTCACCAAATATTCTTATGGAATCATAAATTAAAAAGGCTGAGGAAAACAACGTTTTTTATTATCATTTTATTTTTAAGATCATTTATTTTTAAGGTTAAAAATGACATCATCGTGATGAAAATAATTTTCATTACATCATTCAAGCAATTCAAAAATGGATATATAACATTTAGAATTTTCCCAATTTTATTAATTCGATCTTTTTCGCAACAACATTTTTATTATCACCATGATTTCTTTAAATTTTTGTAACTCTTTGAATTTAATCTCGACTCAAGGAATTTTAGATGGATTAGCCGGATTAACCCTTTTCCTTAGGCCCGATTTATTTGTTCCTGAATTGGTAAATTATTATTATTATTATTATTATTATCATCAATCTTTAAAAAATCCCTCGTTCTTGCGTGTTCATTTCAGATATACATTCAAAAAAAAAAAAAATAGGCCCTCACGTCCGTTATTGATAAACCAGCGGTTTATGTGGCATATAAATATTCAGGAGGTAAAATTAAATTAATTTTGATACGTTCTTATTATTGCAAAATAATAATAATAATAATAATAATTAAAATCAATTTCGACAATTAAAAATAATTAATAAATCCATAGCGGTTTGGGTATGTACAAATTTTTAATTCATTCTCTATCAGATATAAATAATTTAATTTAAATCATTAACATCCTTTAAATTATCACAGGTGGCACTTGGATATAATCAAATCCTTACGCCCAATAAAAATGATTCGGTCTTCGTTCGAAACACATGTAATTGATTGATTATAATATTTTTATTTTTTTTTAATTTTATTTTTTTTTTTGCTTTTTAAATTGTTATTTTCTAATATAAAAAAAAATGATTACATCTCTAGTATATAGTCGAGTGGTCGCAGTTATTCTTTGTGGAATGTTGAAATACATGTATGATCAAATGCCTATGCGCATTCTTGCCTTCTCTGCTGTGGATTTGGGGTTATCAATCATGAACTACATCGCTTCGAATGGTTCTGAAAAAAGACATATTCGTCGTGATTAAGAACAAATTAGTTGTTGATATTATTTTTTTGCATTTTGTATATTGCTAGTTTTTTATTTCTAAAGTTTTTTCTAAACCACAATAATTATCACGATGTTTTAAAAGATATATCTTGTTAAAAAAAAAAAAAAAACTAAAGAGATAGAAAATCAACGCTTAGAACTAGTAATAAGTTGTTAAAATTGAAAACGAAAATGAAATAAAGATCCCTGTTGAAATAAAAAAATTTTCAAAAAATTGGAATTCTATACATGTAAAACGGTTACTCCTGCGAAATTAGATAACTCAAATTTCTTCTTTTGTGACAGAGGCCTTACATATATTAAACTCTCAAAGCACACAAAGCAAGTACGAACCTGGAGTTAATACTTTGACTCAGTAAATACCTTTACAGGGTGAGCCTTATCGAGTAAAACCCGAAACTGTGATCCAAAAGAAAAAGAGCAATAAAAAAGTTGAAATTTTCTCGTACTTTATATTATGTAAGATTATCGTTGACCAATCACATTTTTTATTAATATAATATAAAATTAAAATATAATTAAAAAATATATAATTTGGTTTGTTAATTCCAATATGGCTGATATAAAGAAACGCCTTGTATTTTCCATTCTGCAGTTTTTACAGCAATCAACTAAAGATGGAACCATTAAAAAAGAAGAAGATAAAGAAGGAATTGATGTAGCAGGTTTGGATTGATTGTTTTTTCGTTTCCGTGTGCATCGAATTGAATTTGACAAATGAAACATTTTTAAGTACAATGTATTAGCGAAGCATTTGGTGTAAATCCAGAAGATCCAGATCAAAAGGCGTTATATAGTACAAAAGTTCCGTTATTGTCAATTTTTGATGTAGCAATTAAAACACAAGAACGAATGACAAAACCAGTTAAGTTGATAGTTAAATTTCTCTGTATTATATATCAAATAGTACTTTTTATTTATGAATTATATTTATTATATTTTATAGTCAAGTTCGAGATCAGTACCTGTTTCTCAAAATAGTAAGAAATTTTGCTTTTATAATAATTTTAATGTGAATTTTTATCTTAGTTATTTTGTCAATGTTTTTTTTTTTTATGCTCCAATAAAAGCTGCAGAAACTAAAGTATGTTATTTTGAGTAATGTTTATTTTTGCTCTCACAAAATTATGATATAAAATATAACAAATTGCTTTGAAATTCATTTTAATCATTAGATAGAGCTTAACGAGGAACAAAAACAAAAGGCGGAAGAATTAAAAATATCTGGTAAGAATGTTTATATTTATTATTAAATTAAATTGAAATTATATATACATATTAATATGTTATTTATCTAATATTTTTGTTAGGTAATCGTAAAGTAGCAGAAAAAGATTATAATACAGCAATACAATTATATAGTGAAGCTATTACAATAAATGGGAATAACGCGGTCTATTATGCTAATCGGTATATCTATCATTTTCCTTTTTCAAATCTATATTTTTTTTTAAAAAAAAAAAAAAAAAAACCTAAATTTATATTAAAAATTGTATGTAATTTCAAAAAAAAAAAAAAAAAAGAGCTGCAGCATACAGTCAGTTAGGTCAACATGATAAGGCCATAGAAGATGCTATAAAATCATCCCAAATTGATCCATCTTATAGTAAATCATATAGTAGACTTGGGTAAATATAATTCTTTTTGCTTGTATGTTTAAAGAAAAGAAAGATTAGTTTTACAAATGATTTATGGACCCTTTCTTTTGTCCAATAAGACACGCTTACTTTTCTATAGCAAAATATAAAGAAGCAATTGAAGCTTATGAAAAAGGACTTTCTCTTGATCCCGAAAATCAAACTATGAAATCTGCTCTTGCAGCTGCTGAACAAAAAACTAGTGAACTTCAAAATGAAAATACCTCTGGAGGAAATTCTACAGATGGAGGTACTCGTAATGGAACATCCGGTGGTGGTGGTGGTGGCGGTCTTGGAAATTTCCCAGGATTGGCTGGCTTAGGAGGTGGTGGTGGAGGTGGCGGTGTTGATTTAGCATCCTTATTGAATAATCCTGCTCTAATGGGAATGGCTCGTTCAATGATGCAATCCGGAGCATTCAATGACATTATGAATAATCCTAATCTCGCTTCAATGTAATAATAAATTGGTATTTCGTTTTATGACTTGAAATTTATATTTAAAGCACTTTCTAAACACAATTTTATGTATAGGGCACAAAATATGATGCAAGGAGGAGCTCCCCCCAATTTAGAAGAAATGATGAACAATCCGGATATAATGAATGCGTATGTCATAAATTTTTATTTATTTATATAAAAATCATTCGATTATTTTATAATTTATAATAAATTGAGATCTTTAATTTTATAGGGCACGACAATTTGCGAATAATCAAGGTAAAAAAAAAATAAACAAATTAATTAATTATTTAATCTTCAATCTCATATATTTTTAATTTTTATATATTTTTAATTTTATTTATTTATGTATTTTTAATCTTACATCTATATATGTTTTTTTTTTTAAAAAAAAAAGGTGGAAATAATCCTCCTCCTCCCAATAGTGAAAATCAATAACATCAAAATATCAGGATATTAAATACATAAATTTTGAATTTTTAATTTAGATATAATTTTAAAAAGTGAAGTTACTATCAGGAATAGTTTATTTATTTTTATTTTATTTAATAAAAGTTCCCCAGTTATCACATGTTTGTAATACATCTTTTTAAAATTATTATGTATTACTAAGTAGTATTATTGCTATTTTTAAAGAAAAAAGAATGAATCAAGTTACGAAGCAACATCTTGTGTACAAAGATCAGATGATCTGATTATTGAATCCCTTGAATAAAAAAAATTTCTTTTAAAAATATATTCAAACAAAAAGTGTATCATGTCAATTCAAGAAGGACAATCACAAAGTAATAACGAAATGACTGCATTGGTAGAACAGGTAGAACACCCCGTTACGAATCCAGTAGAAGGTAGATAAAAAGAAGAATAAATAAATTTAATTGTCTGAAAAGTTCTTGGAAATAATTTTTAAACCAAAAATTTTATAATTAAGATATTCTTGAATCTGATGAGAAAAAAGGAAACACCAGTTTAAATTCTTCTTCTGATTCGGTACAAAAGATTCCAGAGGAAGTAAAAGAAGAAAAGCGAAAAATTTTGGAACAGGTTGAATATTACTTTGGTGATAGAAATCTTCCAAAAGACAAATTTCTTAAAGAATTATGTGGAAAAGATCCGAGTGGACGTGGCTGTAAGATTTATTTTCAAATGATTATCTTTATCTTTATATGCTTCCTCAATAATAATAATAATATGATAATATAATGATATAATAATATAGTAATATTATCGATTGAATATTGATTACATAGATTTAATTAACTAATTAATTAATTAACAGGGGTTCCTATTTCTATAATTCGGCAATTCCGTAAAATGCAAGTATATAAAGATGATACATTAATTGTTGAAGCATTGAGAGAATCTCCAGAATTGTTGGAAGTAGACGAAACAAGCACAAAAGTTCGTAGAAAAACTCCAATACAGATGTCAATTCCTGAACATATTATAGAATCTCCCATGTGGAGTTCAATTTATGCGGTAATTTATATGCCTTGTACATTGTAATATCTTTTATATATATATATTAATTGATCAAATTTAACATTAAATTAAATATAAATACAATTTCAGAAAGGATTTGATCCAAATACTGGTCACAATTTACAAACCGAAGTTACCAACTTTTTTAATAAATTTGGTAAAGTCGTACGCATAAGAGAACGTCTAGATGAACAGAATAATTTTAAAGTAAATATTATTAATTGTTTGATTATTACTAAAATGATAAATTTTTACTGAATTTCAATCTTTTCCTTTTCTTTCCTTTTTTTCTTTCCTTTTTATTTCATTCTTCTTTCCTTTATAGGGATCATTTTTCATCCAATTTTCCTCTCACGAGGAAGCAAAAAAAATCTCGGAGATGGATTTGGAATTCAAGGGTACTCAAATAAAAATGATGATGAAGTAAATTATTTATATATTAATATATCTATCGTGAATTCTTATGCATGACTATAACAATTATTTATTAATATTATTTTATAAAATTAGATTTGATTATTGTGAGATGAAATGCATAGAAAAAGGTTTAGATCCTAATACTATGCGTAAACAAGAACCACGAAATCATAAAAATGTGAAGTTAAAGAATAAAGAACCTAGATATGAGAAAGATTGTTTAATTAAATACGAAGGTGTAGGTCCTAATGTGACATGGGAGGATGTTCGAGTATGGGGTTTTTTTTTTTACTATTAAATAAATTAAATGATTTATAAGTTATTATAAATTTAAATATTAATGATATTAATGATATTTTATAGAAAAAGTTTGATTCTGATTATGGGAAAGTTGTATTTGTCCAACTGTCTTCAACTACTAAGAGTGGAACTATCCAATTCGAAAAAGCAATTGCAGAAAAAGTAGTTGCTTCAATCAAAGATGACCTGGAATTTGATGGGGTTAAACCAAAAATATCAGTAATGACAGGTTTGTGACCTAATTTTACTTATGACGCATATTTTTTTTTTTTTTTTTGAATTTAATATATATCAAATTTTGACTTTGAAATTTTTTAATGCCATTAGGACAAGAAGAAAAAGATTATTATCAAAAAAGACTTGATTATTTTAGAGATTGTATTGCAAGAAAACGTGAAAAGGGTGGAGCAAAAAAACATCGTTCTCAAATAAAAAGGAAAAAGGGCCAAAACAACTTGACACAGAATAAAAATGTTCCTGAAGTTCTCTCAGCATCTATGGCACAGAATAGTAGCGCTCCTGAAGTTCTTTCAACACCTGTGGAACAGAATAATAGCACTCCCGAAGTTCTCTCAACACCTGTGGAACAGAATAATAGTGCCCCTGAAGTTCTCTCTACACCAAAGAATGGAGAAAAACGTAAGTTAGATAATACGGAAATAGATGATTCTCCAAAAGAAACTAAGACTGTCAAATTGAACTCTGGAGATGCAATTGAAAGTTTAAATTCTTCATAATGTTAAGTCTTAATGTCCAAAAAATAGAATCCAACCGGTTTTAAATAAAATTGATAATAACTTGTAAATTTATTTTAAGATTTGTAATTAATTTTATTAAAATTTGGCAAAATTTTTCAAAAAAATATATATATATATATATATTCGTATAATCAGTTTTATTAAATAAAACCCACGTGACAGCATCAAGGTGGTTTTAATAGCACATTTGATGCTAGAAAAATGGAACAAGTATCATTGTGAAGCTAAAAATGAGAGCTTTCAAATAAAAGGAATATCATATTCACACATGAAACCAATAACTTAATTATGCATACTGGGCATTTTTTAAATAACCAATTATTATTCAACTTTTTCATTTATGCAAAAGAGTTCACTTGCATGAAACGGACAAAGATGAAACTCATTTTATTTTATATGATCTATAACAACCAAGAACTGAATTCGAAATTTTACAATTAACAATAAAAATCAAAAAAAAAATCTATTTCTTATACTCATCCACATAATGAAAATTAAGATACCCGAATATTTTGATTAAAAATCAACGGCTTTTCCTATAAAATTGAAAGAAAAAATAAATTAAATTAGCAAGATATCAAGAAAAGCGGATCCAATTAGCAATTTAAAAGAATTACTATAAGCACGACCAACACACAATTTCACTACCTGCTGCGTTTGAAATAAAATAATTGATACAAGGATTTGGGATACATGAACACTGTATAACACGAAACGTGCGAAAAAAATGCGTAACTTTATTGTTTTTTTATTTACATTAAGACTAGAAAATGCGAAAATGATGTGGAGTATAAATCAATAAAAGGTATAATTTCGTGTGATAAAGATTTTATACTTGCTGTTACTACATTATGCGAACATCAGTGGTGGTTGATTTTTCATAATCATCACTAAATTGATCTATAATTGGTTGTTCCTCTATTCTAACAATACTTTTCGTTATTCTTAATCTTTTGCGCATTGACATGTTATATACAGTCGACCCCCCTCTATAGGCACCTTCTGTATAATCACATCATATAAATTTTGTAAAGACTAATCCTATTAATGTTATGTAAAAAAACCTCTTCTATAATCACAGGATTTTTATAGTCACACTCCTTTGGAACCAATACTTAGTAATACTATATCAGGGATGATGAAATTATGCGGTGACAAAATACAAATTATTTATTTGCTAAATATAAATTGTGATGTTATTTTTTTAAAAATTCACATATTATGTGATATTATTTATTAGTTTTATACTAAAATGTGATATTTTTAATGTGAAATAAAAATAGAACAAAAAAATAAACTATTCTTTATTAAACTTTATATTAAAAGCCATTAAAATATAACATATTTAATCTTTTAAGAGAATCCAAAGATAAATTTTGATGATCACTATCTGATAAAGAATTATACATTGAAAAACTTTGTTCTACACTACAACTTAATATTGGTGATCAAAAGTTATTTTAAAAAGAATTGATAATTGTATTCCAATATTAATTCGATTTCATTAATGATTTCATTATTTAATTCACAATAAATTTCCCATTCTCATAATAACTCATCCAATGGATTATTAAATTCTTTAATAATATTATATCTTCTGATATCCTTTTATAAAATATCTTCTATATGAATATATTTTGAATCAAAAACTTGACTTGCATGAAAAAGTAAACAGAATGGATGATTAAAAATGTGTACTTTAAATTTTTGATAAGCTACTTCAAAAGCTTCTCTAAAAATAATATAAAATTCTTCTACATTAAATTTTAAACTGACAATTAAGTTTTTTAATAATGGACCAAAATAATTTGCATTTCTATTTGTTTCAATATATGAAATAGGTTGTTGAAGTTGTGATTCCACTAATGAAAAAATAAGCTTTTTGATTGTTGAAAAAATCTAAGTCTTGAACAAATTCTTTTGCATAAATTGAAATAAAATTAAGATAAATGATAATAACACCTAACTCTTGTTTATTCTGTAAATAAGAATTGATAACCTCCAGATTATTATCTTTTTATCATTTTCAGCTTCTTTAAAAAAGGCAAGTTAATAAACTATATAATCTTTTGCATAAAATACCATCTTAAACCAGGAATTCTAATGAGTTTTGTTGTATAAATAAATTTTATAAGGAAAAAAAATCCCATGCATTTTTAAATGAGTCAAATATCTTTGCTGCCAAGCAAAAGAATAAACAAAAACTTTTTTAATTTTTTCTAGAAAATTTTTTAATATTTTAAAATGTGAAATATTTTTCAAGTGTCTTTAAAAATATAATTTTTATATTAAATTAAGAATAAAATTAATTTAAAAAAATTTAAATAAATAAATTTGATAAATAAATAAATAAATTTGTATCTAATAAGATTTAAAATATGCACACAACATGAAACATGAGTTAATTGAAACATTAATAGTAATGAAACTTTCCAATAACAATTTTTTATATAGACAGTTAAGTCAAAAAGAAACAATTGTAATAAATCAAAAGATATATTGAAATTTGTAAGAATAGTTATAAGAATTTGTCCTATGGTAATATTGTTAACTTGTTCAAGAAAATCTACAAATACTAGTTTTGTTTTGTTATAATAAATAAAAATAGTATTAACAACGGTTCTTATATAATCATCTGTAGTTTCATCTATAATTATAGTCACTGGTTTAGAATTAAATGGTAACTTTAAAAATTGATAATATTTATCAAAAACATTAGGTAAATAAATTTGACGAAATGTTGGAACTTAAGAAATTAAACCATTATTTTTTAAATACTTTTTTAAAAAATAAAATTAATCTATTAACTTTTTCAAGAAGAATATCTACTACTATAAATGTTTCTAAAAGATCTTTAATAACTTGTTTTTTTAAATCAGCTGTAGTTTAAATAGTAGAAAGAGTAAATTGTGTTTTATTTTTTTTCTCATTGTTACAAATATTCACATTTGAAATATATTTTTGACTTTTCAATGATTATCTACAACTGATTTTTGCTTCTACTCTACAGAAGTATTGCAGTAGTTACAAAAAAGTATATTATCATCAATACAAAAAATATTTTTATATTCTTTACATTTGCTGTGAACTGATATATATCAGGAAATTTTTAATAGCAAATATATTCAAATATATTTGCCTTAAATTAATTCAAATATATTTGATCACCCACGTATTTATTCATATTAAATATTCACATATATTCAGATATATTTGTAAATTTATTCAAATATATTTGCATATGTATATCTGGATATATTGTGAATTTATGCAAATTTATCTGATATGTGAATTTATTCAAATATATTCACATGAATTTATCCAGATATATCCACATATATCCACATATATTTCATCAGGAAATTCTTTCTAGTGAAAACCTTTAAAAGTTAACGTTAACATAAGTATTTTGCTGTTTTTCAATATATTATCCTTCAAAGATCTTTGCTAACCTTTGAAGGTTATCGATTTTGATATCTTCATGTGCGAAATTTTGCAAATATTATCATTTTCATAGTAATTTCATATCAATAACCTTCGTTTATATTAGATATTCATAATATATCATTTCGATAGTCATTACTTGTATTTATATCACTGCGATTTTTAATTGACATTGCACTATCAACAATATCCTTCGAAGTTTATCACAGTAATTTTAATTGAAATTGTATTGTTAACAATATTTTTCGAAGTTTATCACAGCAATTTTAATTGACATTGCACTGTCAATGATATCCTTCAAAATTTATCACAGCAATTTTAATTGACATTGTACTGTCAATGATATCCTTCAGAAGTTTATCACAACAATTTTAATCGATTTTGCATTGTTAACAATATCCTTCGAAATTTATCATAACAAAATTGTATTGTTAACAATATCTTTCGAAATTTATCACAACAATTAAGGTTAGTATTTATGTTCACTGAATGTAATTATATTATTGTTATAATTTTATTAGATATCATATTGATCCAAAGTTTATTAGTATTAATATGTTCCCGAAACCTTTGATAATTTAATATATTATAGTTAAAGATTTTCAAAATAACTAGATAATGATTACAATGAGTTTGAATTAGCATTGTTTAAATATTACAAACATAATATTTACAATAAAATTTTCAAATAAGAATAATTATTATCATAAGAATATTATAAGCCTATACTTATATTGTATATAAATAAACATGTTTTTATCAGATCGTGTAATATTCTCAACAAATGTTTACATATATAAAATTACTGAAATAAGTATATGTTATTATTTTATATTTGTACTACATAATAAATTTACGAAGTTATTAATTATAGAATCTATATACTATATATAAGTAGAGAATTTTACTATATTTTAATTTTAATCCTTGCTGTTCCTAACTGACCTTTATACATTTTTTTTTTTAAGTATTTTGTGGAAAAGAAAATTGTAAAATACTAGAGAAAATCTATCGAAGTAAATATAAAGCATAATATCAATAGCTAATTTCGAAGAGGTTGAATATTTACTAAAATTTATATCAGTATAGGAAGATTTACCATTTCGATATCAAGGAATAATCATTTGATTATTTTTGAATATTTACAGTATATCATATTAACTCCTCAATAAATATTAACCTTTTAATAATGTAAAAGTAAGTATCAAATATAATATTATAATATTTTAAATGTAATTGTAACCTTCCAAAATAATTAGAATATAATTAATCAGATCTTGTGCTCTGAAAATAATGAATAAATATGTAATTATGAGAATCGAAAGTGCTTCGTGATCACTATTATAGTGAACATTCTTCTCCAGTCATTATAATCTTAATCTTACTTTAAAATATCAACTCCTCGCAAAAGAAAAGAACTGATCACATTTTCAGAAAAGTCAAATAAAAAAAGAGCACGTCCAATGGACCTAACAGAAACAGAACCGGAAGTAAAAATTAATTGTGAGATATTGAATTTAACTGAAGGTAATAATATTAAATATAATAATTTGTTTCTTTTTAAAAAAATATTTATATATTTATTTATAGAAACGCAAGAAGAAATATAAGAAGAAATACAAGAAATACAAGGAATGCAAAGAGGAATACAAGAAGAAATATTTCTAGAAGGAAGAACTAAAAATCTCACTTTGGATAAATTAATTTCGTAAAATGCTGAAGTAATAAAAAATTTTGATACTTTAAATAATAAAATTAATAACCTTAAAAAAATAATTGTTGATTTCGTCAACAAAAGAGAAGATATATCACCGGAGTTTATTAAGGTACACTCACAGGTCAAAATTCAAATATCGGACATTTATCGGGCACCTATCGAACACCTATCAGGGAAGAATAAACATATTGGGCATCCGATATGATTGATTATTACTAAGTACCCGATAATTAATTTTGTAAATTTTATCATGCACCCGATATAATAGTAATA